CTTGGCATGCCCATAGATGCATAGAACATTGCAGATTTTCAGTATAGCACAAGGAATGCATTTTCCAATGGAATACATGACCGTAGACCTAGTGGAAAATCGTTTCCTTGCCCTTTTTACAGTATAAGGTAGTGTTTATAAGGAACTCCAAGGAACTTTAGAGGAAATTAGAGTTTAACTCACTGGTTTGGGATTTTTTTCTTTAATTTTGAAAGATACTAATCAAAGTATTATATATTGATAATACTGTGTGCCCCACCACTAATGGAAAAGAAATAGTAACATTTTGTTGTATGACTGAAATTGTTTTTTTTTAAGTTTTTTATTTTATTTATTTAAAGGCATAGAGAGAGGGAAATCTTCCATCCACTAGTTCACTCCCTAAATGCCTACAACATCTGGGGCTGGCCCAGGCCTAAGCCAAGCACCCAGAACTCCACATGGGTCTGCCATCATCTGTTGCCTCCAGGGCGTGCGTGAGCAGGAAGCTGGAGCGGAAGCAGAGCTGAGGCTTGAACCCAGCGCCCTGGATGTGAGATGCCAGTGTCTCGGGGCAGCCTGCCGCCGTACTGAACACCCAGCCCTGTTGTCATTTCCAGTTTTAAAGACATGAATTACGACCATCAAAGAGCGGATTTCTCTGCTGCCTAACCTAGTTCCCTTCCTTCTTCCTCAAGGACAAACACTGTCGTTAGTTCAGTGGACACGTTGTCTGTGTTTTCGATTTCAGCTCATCATGCATAGGCAGTGTTTATTTTTTGTTTTCAACGTACAGTTTTAAAAGAAACTGCACCACATCTCACGTTGTAATTCACTTTCCTTTCAACGTTGTCTCTTGGGGAAGGAGTATGTTGACTCAGCTCAGCATGGGTGCTCTCTTGGGTAAGCAGGACCACCTCTGTCCCCTGCTGCCTGCATCACCATGTCCCCAACCCCTCTCTGCCACACCTGGTGGTGTCAGTGGACCAGTGGGCCAATTCATAAAGTGCAAGCATTCTGCATGTGACCCAGTGCTGCCCGCCGGTCTGCAGTGTCGCTGTGTAGGCCATGTGCAGCGTCACTGTGTAGGCCGTGTGCAGTCGCTGTGTAGGCCATATGCAGTGTTGGTGTCTAGGTCGTGTGCAGTGTCACTGTGTGGGCTGTGTGCAGTGGCGGTGTGTGGGCCGTGTGCAGAGTCAGTGTCTGGGCCGTGTGTAGTGGCGGTGTCTGGGCCGTGTGCAGTGGCGGTGTCTGGGCCGTGTGCACTGGTGGTGTGTGGGCTGTGTGCAGAGTCGGTGTCTGGGCCGTGTGCAGTGGTGGTGTCTGGGCCGTGTGCAGAGTCGGTGTCTGGGCCGTGTGCAGTGGCGGTGTCTGGGCCGTGTGCAGAGTCGGTATGTGGGCCGTGTGCAGAGTGGGTGTGTGGGCCGTGTGCAGTGGCGGTGTGTGGGCCGTGTGCAGTGGCGGTGTGTGGGCCATGTGCAGTGGCAGTGTGTGGTCCGTGTGCAGTGGCGGTGTGTGGGCCGTGTGCAGTGGCGGTGTCTGGGCCGTGTGCAGAGTCGGTGTGTGGGCCGTGTGCAGAGTCGGTGTGTGGGCCGTGTGCAGTGGCGGTGTGTGGGCCGTGTGCAGTGGCGGTGTGTGGGCCATGTGCAGTGGCAGTGTGTGGTCCGTGTGCAGTGGCGGTGTGTGGGCCATGTGCAGTGGCGGTGTGTGGGCCGTGTGCAGTGGCGGTGTGTGGGCCGTGTGCAGTGACGGTGTCTGGGCCGTGTGCAGTGGTGGTGTATGGGCCATGTGCAGTGGCGGTGTGTGGGCCGTGTGCAGTGGCGGTGTGTGGGCCGTGTGCAGTGGCGGTGTCTGGGCCGTGTGCAGTGGCGGTGTCTGGACTGTGTGCAGATGTTGAGAGCACCTTCCTCCCAGGGCTTTTTCTTTTGGCCAGTCTGGTTGAATAAGAATCTGTGTTTCTTGGTTGTTAAGTCTGCGTTTCTCTGATTTCTAGAGAGGTTAAGCAGGGCTTTTTTTGTGAATTGTCTTTGTCCAGTTTTCTGTTAGGTTGGTGGTTGTTCTTTACTTTTTGAGATTTTAGTATTCCCAAGTTGCTGTTAGTGTGTGCCGGTGCTGCATTGTATTCCGTGTGATGTGTGTGGCCTTCCCGGCCCGTGATCTGGATTCCTGTGTCTTAGAGCATGTTTTGTGTAAGCAGAATGGAGCATCGCAGGGCCCTTCTAAAGGTGTGTGGGCAGTGCTCTTACGGGGGGCAGGACAGGAACTCCAGAGTTCCACTTGGAAGACTGCAGCTGGGCACGGCTGGAGAGCGAGGACGGAGGAGGAGGGGGCTGTGAAGCCTGGCTGGGACAGGACAGCCCAGGCAGGGCCGTGCAGACAGTGGGAGGAAGGGCAGGGCGTCTGTCCTTCTTGGAATAAAGGAAGAAGTTTTCCTCAGCCGTGTGTTTTGCTGGAGCCCACCTCTGCCTTTGCAGAGTCGCAGAGGGCCTCCCTCATGGAATGTGTGGGGACCCCGAGACCTGACGAGTAGGAACGTACATGGCGGCCGCACTGAGAGGAGGTCCAGGGCACTCTGAAGCGCACCACAAGGTCTGTGCTTTGTTCTTCCTGGGCCCCGTGTCTTGGCACAGTTCTGTTTCATGTCCTTGTAGCAGCAGGAATTGCTGATACAGAGCTGGGTTTTTACACCAGTGGCCCTTGGTAAAAGCCAAGGGAGTGAGAAATTGAAAATGATGGCTTTAAGTCATGTTTCTGTTTTCATGCCAGAACTATGCTGTCTTGGTTATAACAGCCCTGTAAATCTGGTAATGTGATGACTTTGTATTGTGCAGGATTGCTTTACAGTTTGGGTCTTTTGTGTTTCCATATGAATTGGAGGGTTGTTACTTCTAGTTCTGTAAAGAGTACCGCTGGTACTTTGACAGAGATTGTGTTGGATCTGTAAATTGATAGGATGGGTATTTTGATAATATCCAATCCATAAACATGGGAGATTTTTCACCTGTGTGTGTGTGTGTGTGTGATCTGTTTATTTTTAAGATTCATTTATTTATTTGAAAGGCAGAGTTATACAGAGAATGATCTTCCATCTGCTGCTTCACTCCCCAAATGCCACGACAGCTTGGGCTAGGCCAGGCCAGAGCCAGGAACCTGGAACTCCATCTGGCCTTCCCCATATGTGCCAGGGCCAGGCACTTGGGCCATCTGCGGCTGCTTTCCCAGGTGCATTTGTAGGCAGCCGGATCAGAAGTGGCATGGATTTGACCTTGGGCTCCGTGAGATGCTGCTGTTACAAGTGGCTGCTTAACCTGCACCACAGTGCTGACCCCATATTTCTTTCATCGGTGTCTTGTGATTTTCATCATAGAGTTCTTTCACATCCTTGGTTAATTTTATCACAAGGCATTCAGTGGGGATTTTGTTTTTGTTTTTGGTAGTTCTTGTGAATGGGATGTTCTTAGTGCTTTCTCAGCGAGACTGTTGTTGGTGCATAACAATGTTACTGATGATGTGTGTTGGTTTTGCAGCCTGCAACTTTGCCGAATTCTCTTATAAGCTGGCAATAGTCTCTCAGTAGAGTCTTGGTTCCCTGATATAGAATCCTGTCATCCGCACACAGGGATAATCTGACTTCCTCCACTCCCATGTGTGTAGCCCCTTCTTTCTCTTGCCTAATGGCTGTGGCTAAAACTCCCAGAACTGTATTGAACAGGAGTGGAGAGAGTGGGCATCTTGCCTGATCCCAGACCTTAGGGGAAAGGCTTCCAGCTTTTCCCCAGCCAGTGTGATGTCAGCTGTGGGCCTGTCCTGTATATAGCATTTACTGTGTTGAGCTGTGTTTCTTCTGAAGAGTGTTACATTGTATCAATGCTTCAGTGGTTTCTCTGCATCTGTTGAGATAGTCATGTGACTTTTATCCTTCATTCTGTCACTGTCATGTTTGATTTGCCTACTTCTAGAAATACATCCAAAGGAAATGAAGTCAGCATATGAGAGATATGTCTGCACTACTGTGTTTATTACAGTCCAACTCAATAGGAAAGATATGGAATCAGCCTAGATAGCCATCTACTGATGATTGGATGAAGAAAATTTAGAATATGTACACAATAGAATATTAGGCATAAAAAAGAATGAATTCCTGACATTTGCAACAAATTGGATGGAATTAGGGATCATTCATGCTAAGTGAAATAAGCAAGGCACAGAAAGACAACTTTCACATTTTCTTACCTGTGTGAAATTTAATATACAGAGACTGTAAAATCTGTGTGGATGTCATGTTGATTTGTGCATAGATAATTGTAAATGTTGTCTGAATTATACCCTCTACGTAATTATTTACCCTCTCCTCCTCATATTACGATCCTTGTCCTGAATCTTGTATTATGTGATGTTAATATCCTTACTACTTTAACAAAAGTTGTAAGAATGTGTATGTACATAACATTTATGTATAAAATTTTAAAAAAAGAGTTTGAATTCATGCAGAAGAAAGAAAAATGCGGTGTTGCTGGTGGATTGTGGTCTGTGCCTTGCCTCTGAGGAAGTCCCACCTCCTGTGCTGGGATCCCAGAAGTACTGTGGGGGCTCCGATGGCCGTTCCTGTGGCTGTTGACTCGGTTGGGAAAGCTGAGGGTGGTTAGGGTCCCGGGTAGAAGGAGTAGGCTGCTGGGTTTTCAGATGCTCCCTTTGCACTTTGATCAGGCACTGCACATGTTACCATGCAGCGGGGGGCTTTATTTCTGTGTGTGACCGAGATGTCCACCGACGCCTCTACTTGTAGCTCTGGTAGTCTCTCAGGCTTCTCTGTGAAGTTCCCGAGTTGCAGGTTTTGTTAACCCAAAACCGCATCTGCTCTTGCTTCTCTTCCTCCAAACAACATCCCAGACCTGCTCCCCAACGAGGACTGTGCCCCCCAGTTCAGCTGGCCAGCCTGGCTCTCCCCGGGAGCCGCAGGGGAAGCCAGGATCCAGGGTCTGTCTGTCATCCTGTGACCTTGGGTTTCGCTTTCTCTTTAGGCTGCGGTGCCTTCGTCCACAAAGGCTGCAGGGAAAGTCTGGCCTCCTGTGCAAAGATCAAGATGAAGGTAAGATTTTTCTTGCTAAACAAAGGCCCAAAATAAAGAGGTTAAACCAGTAAAATCCTCAGAATTGGAAAAGTTGAGGTTGTAGTGGGTTTTGTTTCAATCATTTGGTACCAACTTTGAGACCACAGTAACCAGAAAACAGTTTTTCTCGAAGTGCTAATCCTCTTCTTAGTTAACATGCTTGGGACCTGAGACTTTGGCAAAGAAGATGCTTTCAGAACCTGCACCTGTCACGGTAGTATTTCTGTGCTGCAGGACGCTGCCGTTTGCACACCTGGAGGGCAGCCACTGCCAACCAGGGCTTGGCCGTGCTGGTGGGTGGGGCTGCTCTGAGAGACAGCTCTGGTCAGCTGCTAAATTGTGTGTGTTGCCTGCTGTGAGCCTGCAGGCTGCCTACCAGTGTGCAGTTTTCCTGTAGCCCTCAGAAGTCAGAGTGGGTTTGGGGCAGGAGAGAACGCTCCAGCCTGGACACAGGTGCCCGGGGTGCTGTGAGCCTCACCAGTAACCAGCACACTTTGTATTAAAATTTTTACTTACTTATCACAGAGTCAGAGTTCCATAGCTGGTTCACTCCCCAAATGTTTACAACAGCTTGTGTGAAGCAGACCAGAGTCAGTAGCTGGAAACTCAGTCTGGATGTCTCACAGGGATGGCTGGAACCCACCTCCTTGACTCCTCACCAGCTGCCTCTCAGGGTACATGTTAGCAGGGGGTGGAGGCGAGAGCAGAGCTGGGCTTGAACCTAGGCCCTCAGATGCGGTCTCAGATACCCCGCCCAGCAGCCTGACCACTAAGCCAGGCCACGCCCTGGTGTGCAGTTACTGAAAGATCGTTATTTCCTGTCTTTGCATTTCTGCTTTCTCCTGAAAGGTCTGTCGGCCCTGGGCCTGGCGTCCCCAGCCCAGTCCATCGTACCCATTGTCCTTTCTTCTCAGTCCTGTCACCTTCCCAGCATGTGCCCCTAGTGGTCTTTGTTGTATCCCTCTCTCTGTGGCCTTCACTTCTTCCTGACGGAACGTGAGCTCCAGACTCGCAGGTGTTCTGTAGGCAGCCAGTGGACGGGATGATGGCACTGGCGTCCGGGGCTGGTGTCCGGCTTTCAGGTCCTTGACATCAGAGGGAGGAGGCAAGTGATGGCCGCTGCCTCCTGGACAGGATGTGCGAGTTGTAGGTTGCTCCTTGCGTTACTCTTCCTTCCGGCGCCACCGTCATTGCGGTCTGGTCTCTGATGATACTTGTGTTGCTAAGGATGCAGAAGCAGCGTCTCCCGTGTCACAGATTACAACCAGAAAGGAGGCTTCCATCTAAATTGGGAGTGGCCTGTTTTCTCTCGTGATGTAATCTGTTTAATTTGTTCAATTTGTCATTTCTTACACTATTTTTGTTATGTACCACAACAAAATCCTTAACTAAAGTGAGTATTTCCCCTAAGAATTCATGAGCCTCGGAAGTGCTGGTCACTGGGGAAACAGAAAGGTTGAGAAAGGAGCACCCCAGCTGCTGCTAAGGAACCGGAGCCTGGTGTGGGAGGTGGGCAGGCAGTTAGCTGAAGGAGACAGGGCTGTGCGGGCTGCGCGGGGTCTTCAGGGGGTGGCCTCACCAAGGAGACGGCGCTGGGTGCTCAGGAGGTGGAAGAGTGCCGCACCGTGGAGGCAGGCGGCAGCACCTGAGTACCACCACGCGTGACGGCTCTGAGCAGCGTGGGGCACAGGGCCAGGGCACGCGGAGCAGGACGCCCACTGCCCGCCGCCCGAGCTTCCTGAGACCTGACGGAGGGCAGCGTGCCAGCGCGGTCACCGTGTTTTGTTCCTTTCCTCAGCAGCCCAGAGGGAGCCTTCAGGCGCACGACACCTCCTCACTGCCCACGGTCATCATGAGAGCCAAGCGTGAGTAGTCAGCGTCCGCACTCAGGCCCCTCCCTGTTGTCACGTCGTCTTGTTATTCCTAATTAAGATTTCAGTGCCTGCTGTGTGGTCGGAGTTGCTGGCCTGTGGCTTGACCCATGTGGGCCAGCCAGCGAGCAGGGTTCCGTCGGGCATGCAGTCTGCTGCCTGGCAGCCGTGCGGCCTGTGTCTGAGCAGGTGTGTCTAATCCCTTCAGTCGTCGCTTTCAGTGCCTCGCAGCTGTATGACTCTGAGCGGCAGCAGGTGGGATAGGGCCTGACATTCCCACAAGAAAGAATTCAGACGTGAGACAGAGAGCAGTGGTAAACAAGGTAGCAAGGTTTAAAGGGTTAGGGCATCTGTCAAAATGGGTGGGACAGAATCCAAGAGAGGGTGTCCAGTCACTCAGGCTGGGGAGAGCCAGGTGATGTGGTTACTGGAGAGAACACACCGGGCAGGCCAGGCGGGCGGCTGGGAGAGCTGAGTGCACTCTGCACTTAGACGGGGCACACAGGGCGAAGGGGTCCAGTTCTCTCCATCTCTCCTTCCCCTCCTCCGCCAGGACACCGATGGCCCAGTGTGCATTAGGCACAATCCCTCCCAAGGGTCCACTGCTCGGTGCTATCAGACCGGGGAGCCCATGGGTGCCAGCAGAGGAGCCTCCCTGAGGGTGCCTGCCTCGGAGGAAGGATGTTACCATTGTATTGCTCAATCAGGTAGCCCATTTGGTGCTGAGGAGAGGGGATTCTCCTGGGGCGTCTGCCTGGGGGAGGCAGGGACCAACTCTGAAGTTACCAGGGTCTGGGCAGGGCGTAGTGGTGCAGAATGCAGGGCTGCCTCCAGGCTGCGGGCGCTCGTTGTCCTCAGGCTGTCCTCACACACACAGGCTGATTCCTACCCAACATTCCCCTCCTCAAGAGAAGGTACCAGGGGCCGGCGCTGTGGCACAGAGGGTTAAAGTCCCGGCCTGCAGCGCCAGCATCCCATGTAGGTACTGGTTTGAATCCTGGCTGCTCTACTTCCAATCAGCTCCTTGCCAATGCGCCTAGGAAAACAGTGGAGGATGGCCCAAGTCCTTGGGCCCCTGCATCCATGTGGGAGACCCAGAAGAACCTCCTGGCTTCTGCCTGGCCCAGCCCCAATCGTTGCAGCCATTTGAGGAGTGAACCAGTGGGTAAAAGACCTCTGTTTCTATCTCCCTCTGTAACTCCACCTTTTAAATACATAAAAATAAATCTTAAAGAAAAGAGAAGGTAGGCATAATCTTATGGGGTTAGAATGGATGAAGGTCCATCTTCTGTAGTCTGTCCAGAGCTGACAAATGGGCATAGAGCTGGTTATGGGAATTCTTCTCCTGCTGTCGGTCCTATGGTGTTTGAGGGTGGCCTCTGAAAAGACTGGCCAGAGGACTGACCATCTTCTCTATAGGGTAGGCTGCTAGCCCAGCCTCAGAAGGATCTGGAGCTAGATGACTTATGTTCTGTTAGAGACAAAACAGGCAGGGGCATTAACACACCATAGTCTAAAGGGAAGCAGAAAGAGTGTGGAAGCCACGTCACCAAGGAGGGGCAGTGGCCAGGATTTCCATGACCAGATGCCAGCCTCGTTTGACCCAATAAACATTTTGGGATAGACACTTTGTTGGGCAGCTTTTGGCAGGTCTGGGGCCTGCCTGTGTTGAAGGACTGGGGTTAGCAGTCCTGTTACGGGGCCCTGGTCGTGGCAGCCTTTCAGTGGATGAAGGCTGTGTTTTCTTCGTTTTTTTTTCCCCTGTTTTGGCTCACTCTTGAGAGCCTGAATTAGGAACTTTGCTATTCCCAGGAATTCGTAACCTGTTAGGGAAATGCTGGGACTGGCTTAAGGTTGCGATAGCAGGAACTTGTTGCTGGCCTGTGTCCTCTCGGGGCCTGGTCTTCTCTCCCATGGTGAGGACAAGTGCTGAAGCCCTTCCGTGCTGCTGGGAAGTTAGGTCTTAGCTAATGCACATGACCAGACTCTTGGGTTGGGGAGGGAAACAGACGAGTGAACCATCTGCCTTCTGGGTTATTTTGCACCCCTCAAGAGATAGGTCCTTTAAGTCCTCTGTGAGGGCCTGTCCAAATAGGTGGACTAAGTTAGCTGCTACTCTCAGCCCCGCTTTTTCTTTTTAACCCACTCAAAGGCAATAGGAACTGACAGGAGGGGCTTTTTTGTCAATAATAATCGGGTAAGCTTTAAGGCCTGGCCAGGTATGTGTGAGGCCTGGAAGACACGTTACAAGGGAGCTGTGACCCTCCTTAGGGAAGCACCTGTTGACTCCCTTTACTTGGCTGGACGAGGAGAGCTGGTCTGAACAAGAGGCTGGCACAGAAGAGGCAGTGTCTCTAAGTGGAAATTTGCAGTCTTACCAGCAGTGTCACTGACCCTTGGCCATCCCCTCAGTAACAGAGGTTACTTTGGAAGCTGGGGCCAACAGGGTCAGCAGTTCTGACCCAAGATTCCTTGGACTCCCAGAGCAGTTCCGTTTTCCAGTGGCCTGGCTTTTGGCAGAGCTGACAGGGCCTTGAGAAGCTCGTCTCTGTCACAGCAGCTGCTTGCCCAGTGTCCTGACTTCTGTTGGAAACAGGTGCTGTTTGGGGATGGACTGGCCTTGTTGGGTCTCCTTGACGGCAGTCACTGTGTATAGCAGCCATTAATTGTCCTGACATGGCTCCTGCTGCCGCCCTGGCTCTCTTTCTCCTAGTTTCTGTTAGGTAGACCCCAGGGGGAGCCTCTATGATGTCAGTCAAAGGAATGCTCACTCCCGTCCCTAATTTGTGGAAATTTCTTGTATTATTATCAGGGTGAGCTAGAAAGCTATGCTCGTGGGCAAATTCTGACACTTAGTATTTCCCTGTTAGTTAAAACCGTGCTCATGAGGGTAACTGTGACCTTTCAGCTAAGATAAATGTGGTGATCTCTGTATATTTTGAGGTCGTCAGTAAAACTTCCCAACTCCCCCTCAATTTGGTTTAAAAGGGGAGTTCTTTCCATTTCCTGTGCACATAGAAAATCTAGCTGTAAAATCGTTTCAAAGTTTAACCTCTCATTTTCCAGCTGTGTATTTGGTCCTCTGTACTGTGACCAGGCATTATTACAGAAAAGGTCAGTCATCCCTTTTATAAGGTCTGGGGATCAAACTGTACATCACAGTGGAGAGTCCTGCAGAATAGTCAGCTTCCATCTTGAAAAGAGGAGAAGTGAGGCAGCAAGTTGGGTCTGCTGATGGCTCAGCCTGACTTCCTGGGCTTTCAGATTTAACCGGCGCTTACTGCGTAGCCTGACTTAGAGGAGAATCTGTGATGTCTCTGCCATCCTTAGGTTTCCGGGTTTTCACTGTGTAGCCAGTGGGTTATGGGCCTGGGTTGCCGAGTTTAACTCATTTTTAACCCATACATTTACACAAGTGCTTACCATGTAACTCAAAATTAAGTTTCAGATTCATCTAGTAAGTATTCTGGCCTTCGGATTTTCACCACGAAGCCTGTGGATACTAGAGCTTTCTTGGGCTCTTGGAACGGAGCTGTCTGATATCTGCTGCGTAACCGTCTCCAGTCGTCTCTAAGTGTCTTCTGGAATCCTTCCTCCCTTTTGGCTGGACCCCCGTTTGATCCACATTTTGAACTGGCAATGACTGGTTATTCAGTGTTAGCTTGACTGAGACTTTGTCAGTCCTTTAAAGAATCTGGCCTGCAAGCCAAGAGACTGGAACAGCTGGGGAAAAATACACACACACACACACAACACACAACACACGCAACACACACACAACATGCCCGTAATTGAAGTTTAGCATCATTCCACATCTTGGCAACACTTTTAATCCAAATAGCCTAATTGGTTATTATCTTTACAAGATGAGAGATATATCCTTTGACATTTCCAGGGGCCCAACTAGAAATATCAAAGTCCAAAGAATTCAGACCTTGATTTTCAGAAAGTCTGTTAAAGGTGCCAAGAGAACTTATAGTATCCATTCAAAATGGAATTCCTTAACATCATGAAAGAGTATCCATCTATTTAGGGTGATTTTACCAATTTTAGATCAGATTAATAATAATGATAAAGTGGCCAAATATTTTTAAATAAATACATATTTAAAAATAATTCTAACTTTTAAGACTCAACAGTTTCCAACAATCAACCTTAACAGACAGTAGAGAATACAATAGATTACTTCAACAGAACATAAAATCTGTGTCTCTTTGGTCATCACAAAAATCAGCAATAACAACATTAAAATATAAAAAGCAGTTTAACAGAGTCAGAAAAGAGTTTATAGGACCTAACTATAAAATTGGAACAGAGCAACCAGTTAAACAGAAACTGTTTAAAGGAGACATTTCAGTTTTTTGCAATAACAGATTTTTTAAGATTCAAGATCAAGGGTATTTCCAGGTGTTTACTAAGATATTAACATATATTTTTCAAAAAACTTGTTGTTGTAACAAAAGATCAGACTTCAATCTTAGGTCAGTGTAACTTTGACATTAATGCTCAGTTTGTAGAAAACTCTATAAACAATAATTTAAAATTATAATCAACCTTTTCACACATAAACTTTTTCTTCCAAGATTTATCCCTCTCAAAATTTTTATGACTTGCTCACACATTTTGCAACTTAAACTTTTAGTTACTTTCAAGCATTCTTGAACTGTCATGCATAGACAAATTATGAAAATATGTTAACAAACTCAAACAGTCTTCCTTCTAGAATTTAAGATTACACAGTCTTCCTTCTAGAATTTAAGATTACACAGTCTTCCTTCTAGAATTTAAGATCACACATGTCCATATTTGTATTTACCTTTACCCAGTTTTCATTTAGTAGCTACGCCTGGATGGCTTAAGACACTGAGATATTAATGAATGCCATGCTGTTGTCTGAATTATTTTAAGGTCAAAATTACATTTCCATGTTTTTAAATAACTGATAATATATACCTCCTGAACAGCAAACACAGGCACTGGTGTATGTTAACAACTTTGAAAATATCTTTATCCTTTTAAGAAAAACAAGTCTGAAACGTATCATCAAAGCCCACATGTAAGCCACGGAGCTGGAGGGCATTGGATTCACGCCATTTTTCTGAACCAGTCTTTTGGCCCACTTTGATGTGACAGTGTAAAGGCATGCGTATGCAGAATTAACTCTCATTTTTTATAAAACAACTCTAACTTTAAGAGTGACATGAGTACAACATAAATTTGATATCATTTATAACTTTACAATGTACTTTACAGAATCTGAATTGACTCAAACAACTATTATCTCACCAAGTTGAGAGTCAGCCTTTGAGAGTTCCAGTATCTGACTGGAAGCCCTAAATTCAGAAGACCCAGTTTAGAAATTGTCAGAAGGCAGACTGGTCACGTTAAAATAGTACGTTCACCTGCCACGTCCCTTCGTGAGCCGATGTCGCATTTTCAGTTTCCGTTTCACCAGACACAGGCTATTAAAATTGCTACCATAGATAACTCAGGAAGGAGCGCAGTATCTTCTGGCTGGCTCCTCTGTGAGACTTTGCCAAGACTGTTTCGCAGAGCATAGTTCTGGACCCATTAGAACTGCCCCTCCTTGGGTCCTGCCAGAGCTGGGTGTCGGAAATCCTGAGTGGGATCCAGCGGTCGACTGTGCCGTGGTGGGTCCGGGGAAGCGCTGCTTCCCTCCGCAGCCCACGAGCCGCTGCTCTGCCACGCAGCTCTGCAGTGGCTGTGCTGCCTGCACTCCCCCACCGAGGGAGGCTTCTCTCCGCACGTGGAAAGCTGTGTGTGGGTGACAAGATGGGAGCCGGCCGGACTGACGCCCGCTCGGACCTGTGAGCTGACACATTCCACACGCCTGTTAGGAGTTCAGTTTCCCTGAGCTCGTTCTTTTCCCTTATTATGTCAGATGAAATAGCATCCGTCTTTAAAACAAAACCAGACACCTATTCGGCGTTGGGTTCCCCTGTGTATTACCTCTGCCCACATGCATGCCTGATCTCTCTCTTATCCCGCCAAGGCAGTACTGGACTTCAGGACAGGTTGTGGATTCAGATTGTATGGACTGAGTCCCAGCACCTCCCCTTCAATAGCTGTGTAGCCTTGGGCATTGCCCGGGTTGCCTGCAGAAGGAAGTGGGGGTGGAGTCACCGTGGTCACAAGGCAGTGAGAAGCCTCAGAGCCGGCCTTGCCTGCAGCCATGCTCCGGTTCAGACAAGGAAAGCTGGCTGTTTGCTTGCTGCTGCCTGCTCTTTAGACATCAGAAGCTATTTTTGCCCATGGGGCTTGGCCCGGCAGCCTCATGGCTTCCCTCCACCTCCTGTTTGCCTTCAGCCTGGGGAACTGCTCTGCCTTCCCCCTGCAGTCCCCCTCAGAATGTGTCTCCCCTCTGACCTGCTCACATCCTCACCATGCTTCAAGAACCGGCCTCTCTCCCAGGAGACGGCGTCTGCTGTCCCCCCTCCCTTGCAAACACCTGCAACCTGTGCAGCCCCCGTGGCAGGCCGTCATAGGCCATGGACTTCCTGCAGCCGGGGTCTGGCCGTGTACCCTGTTTCTGGTGTTTTATCACCGTCTTTTAAATATAATTAGAATTGGAAACTACTGATTATAATAATGCTTATTAAGTCAGAACATCCTGAAATGCTGTGAAGTCGTGGCTGCCACACAGCCTTACTTCCTACAGCTTGTCTGGGGCAGGAGCTCAGTCGCCAGGGAAAATAATTTGTCACTCAAGTGCCAAGGTGGCCACATTGGAGCTCCAGTTCCTCTTTGATCGTGTTAAGGAGAAACACGCAGTACAAGAACAAGTTGCTGTGTCGTATTTTTCATACTTGTAAACGAAAAGAGTTGTTGGAAATCTGTGCCAAGTCATTTGAGGAACCTGTCAGAAAGGGATCCCACCCTGGGCCCACGGTGCTGGCCTTTGTGATGGGTGCTTGGGAGGTTTGGCACTGCCTGGTCCCACAGAGTGCTGGCCTCTGTCGCCAGGGCTCCTGCTGCCCTGGAAGCTGCTTTCCTGTTTCCACCTGCCCCCTTGCCCGCTGTGTAGTGCCCATCTCATAGCATAAGGCACCACACTTCTGAGTTTTCTGTGTATCTTCCCAGATTAAATGGATGCCAATCTGGATTTTTTTAAAGATTTATTTATGTATTTGAAAGAGTTACAGAGCGAGGAAAGGCGGGGGGGGGAGGGGTCTTCTATCCATTGGTTCACTCCCCGAGTGGCCGCAATTGCCGGAGCTGCGCTGCTCTGAAGCCAGGAACCAGGAGCTTCTTTCAGGTCTTCCACGTGGGAGAAGGTCTGGGCCATCTGCTGCTGCTTTCCCAGGCCACAGCAGAGAGCTGGATTGGAAGTGGAGCAGCCGGGTCTTGAATTAGCACCCATACGGGATATGGGCACTGCAGGCGGCGGCTTTACCTGCTACACCACAGTGCCGGCCCCCAGTCTGGATTTTTAATATTTTTATGCACAAAGGACTGCCTGTTACGTCGTCTGTCCTGTCCCATGGTGTTGTTTTACCCTTAATGTGTGTTGGAGGAGAGTTTGTCAGTCCATGGAGAGTGTCTTCCTTTCTTGGTACTCCATTGTGTTGTTTCCATTGTTTTAACCAACGATGTTGTATTAAATAATTGAAGGCATACATCATCTCATACATATACCAGCAAATCCTACAGAATAAATTGGTTCTAAAAGTGGAATTACTGGGTCAAAGAGTGCAGGTATGCTCCGTGTCAGCAGTTGCTGCTACCTGTCCTCCGGAGAGGTTTTGTGCAGCTTTGCCCTCCCGGGGAAAGCCTCTCTGGGAGGGTGCTGCTAGTGTCTGGCGTCTGCCGGCCGGCACAGGTGAGTGATGCTCCGGCGGGCCTGCTCTGTTCCCCGCAGCCTCACAGCCCAAGGAGCGCCCTCGATCTGCAGTCCTCCTCGCCGAGGAAACCGCCGCTGCCCCCGTGTTTGCCCAGAGACGGTCCCAGCAGAGCGTCTCTCTCTCCAAGAGTGTCTCCATACAGAACATCACGGGGTAGGTGACACAGACTGCTCACTCGGAGGGAGCGGTCACGGCTGGGGGCGGGGGCGGAACAGGGGTTTGTGTAGGGGCACCGTCGTGACTCTGGAAACCATTCTCGGGCCAGGTTGCATCATTAGCCCTGCTTTAAAGAACCTACTTTCTGCAAAGATTTTTAGATCTAAATAAGAAGAGGGAAAAATAGTTAAAAAGTCCGAATGTTTCTTCCTTGCGACTTCTTCATTTTGAGCTGTCAGGCTTTCCTGTTGTTCAGATGTACTGGTGTTGTTTCATTTCTTTTGAACTGTTTTCCATCTTTGGCTCTGAACTCAGAAGTCAGTGTCACGGGGGTGAGTTTGGGCTCCCAGTCAGTGCTTGGTTCGCACCCGGTTCCTCTAAGCCTCTACGAAAGTTGCTGTGGCCCTGGCTGTTGAGGCCTGGGTCAGAGGTGAGCTCGGGGCTGAGTACGGTGTTGCTGGCTGTTTGGGGTCAGATGTCTGGCCTCCTGGGAGGTAGTCATGGCAAATGCAGGACTCAAACATCTCTTGCATGTCTCTTAACCTAGGTTGGAGGAAAGATTTAACAAAAGGATGCAGTCTCCTTTTGTCTGTATTTCCTAACCTCTGTGCCTGGCTAATGTTTCCTCCTCCTTAAAAAAATGCTTCAGGTATTTTTATTTTGTCTTTGTATTTTCATTATCTCCCAAAGCCTCTTTCAAAGTTGTGACAGTATCAAAGTGTATTTGCATTATGACTTTGACAAGTTGATCCTCAATAAAATTTGAAGTTTTAAGTGATTCTTACTGGCCTTTGTGTCATACGAGACATTTACCGGGTGCTTCCTGGGCTGGCTAATGAGTGGAATTGAGAAAGTCAAAGAATATAGCTTATTACGAGTGTTACAATAATTAACTTATTATAAGTATTATGGAAGTACTATAAGCTCGTACTTATTATAATAGTACAGCTTATTATAAGTCTAGTTATTTCAGGAAATGGGGGAGGCGGGAAGGTGGAAGTACAGTTAGGCAAGAAATTTTAAGCAAAGAAATGGATAATGATTTCAGGCAAGATTGTTCTTGCTGCTTGTCATTTTTAAAAAAGGCTCAGAAGGCTTGAGTTGGCCGTGGCGGCGTGGCCCGCTGCTGTGTACCTGGCAGAAGTAGTTTGTCCTTAAGTCTGTGGTACTCGCAGCCAGCGGGGACTTGAGTGACTTGTGTGTGCTCTTAGCAACGTAGACCATGGCTTGCTGGATGCAGTTGACTGTCTTTACTGCTTCTTGTCCCTAGAGTTGGCAATGACGAGAGCATGTCCAACACCTGGAAGTTCCTGTCCCATTCAACAGACTCACTAAACAAAATCAGCAAAGTCACGGAGTCCACAGAGTCACTCACCGATGAGGGTAAGAGGGAGATGGGACCCCGATTCGATGCCTCTGCAGAGCCTGCTTCTCTGAGCCACCCGGCTGTACAATGAGTTGGCAGTCATTGCCCGATTGTCAGCTGTGCACTGAAGGGTGTCCCGGCTTTCATGTGGGTGCACAGCCTTTTCCCTCCTGGACTTGTGCACACATTTGATATGAGCATTCTTGGCGCGTTTGTCGGCCTCCTCTCTTAAACAGGGCGCAGTCCTACTTAAACAGGAATCATGTCTTCTTCATGTGCCGTGTGTATGATGTTTATCGCTCCCAAGCAAAGTCTTGAATAGTGCGTCACCACCAACGGGGCGTTGACGCCAGCGGTTTGAGAATGTGCTTTCTGGGACCGCCCTATATATGTGCAAGGTGTGCGCCGCCGAAGCCACTCTGCTGAGACGGCCGGCACAGGCTTCGCCGCACCGCAGACTCCGGCGCTCTAACTCTGGTTTTCTGATGTTTGGAGGAGTAGGTACGGATATGAACGAAGGACAACTGATGGGGGACTTTGAGATTGATTCCAGACAGCTGGAAGCTGAGTCCTGGAGTCGGATTGTGGACAGCAAGTTTCTGAGACAGCAGAAGAAAGATGTGATCAAACGGCAGGAAGTGATCTATGGTGAGAGTCTTCGTTTCACTCCGCCTGCACTAGGGTTGCATTGTCTGGGCTGTGGGAAATCAGTTTTTGAGCAGATGACTTTAAAAAAAATAGATTTATTTTATTTATCTGAAAGAGTTAGAGAGAGAGAGAGAGAGAGGTGTCTTCTGTCCATTGGTTCACTCTCCAGATGACTTCAGTGGCCAGAGCTGAGCCGATCCGAAGCCAGGAGCCAGGAGCTTCTTCCGGGTCTCCCACATGAGTGCAGGGGCTCAAGGAGTTGGGCCGTCCTCCACTGACTCCTCAGGCACATTAGCAGAGAGCTAGATTGGAAGTGCAGCAGCTAGGACTCAAACTGGCACCCATACAGGATGCTGGCCCTGCAGCCCCAGGTTTTAACCCACTGTTCCACAGCCCCGTCCCCTGCAGATGACATCTTAAAGATGTGTTTTAAAAACTAAGATGCGAGAATGTGGTCTGGAGTGCACCCTGTGTTCCGCTTTGCCTCACTGTTTGCTGTACCAATAAATGCGCAGAAGATTGAAAACAGTGCTCTGTCCTCACAGTGCAGGGTTGGGTTGTGTGACACACAGGGTGTGAAATGAGAATACTCAGAGGGGGCGAAACAGCTTTTGACCCAGTTTGAAAGCTTAGTCGGGCTCTGAACTCACCTGGGAGTGCCACAGGTGATCTCCGAGGGAAAGTCCTCGGCCAGGTCGCCCTCGGCCAGGTCATCCCGGTCTTTGCTGTCCTCGCAGAGCTGATGCAGACAGAGTTCCATCACCTCCGCACCCTCAAGATCATGAGTGACGTGTACAGCCGCGGCCTGGTGGCGGAGCTGCACTTCGAACAGCAGATGGTGGACAAGCTGTTCCCCTGTTTGGACGAGCTCATCACTATCCACAGCCAGTTCTTTCAGAAGATCCTGGAGCGGAAGAAGGAGTCTGTGGTGGACCAGAGTGAGAACTTTCTCATCCAGAGAATAGGGGACATGCTTGTCAATCAGGTGAGAATGCACGCGGGCGCAGGAGCGGAGGGCAGCCCTGTCAGTGTCCACGTAGGCCTGCTGCCCCGGCATTTCCTTTTCTGAAGAATGTAGCTTTCTCCTGGTGCCGCTGAGAAGTGTTTCCACAGAGTCCTAATCCATGGGGCAGGTAAGCAGTGACGGCCAGTTCAGGGAACCAGAAAGTGCCTGCTGGAGGCCTTGAACTGCCCCCGCCTCCGGAAACTGAAGACACCCTGACAGACTGTTAATGTTGGTAATCTCATCAAGGGATGGTGTGGGTTCAATCTCACTCCCAAAAAATTCTGCTGCAAATTATTTTGATACGTTCAGATGTGTAGACAGCTTTTAATGTTTCTTTTAAGGATATTCTTAAAAACAAAAAGACACTGTTCATGGCACCCTGACAGGCAGAGGGTTGTAAGTCGGGCCTGTGGCTTGGTATTTTCCCATCAGCAGGTCTCTGCTCCTTGAAGCACAAGCGTGATTGCTGGAGTGTTTGTCAGATGATCGGGCACTTGGTGCTTCTCTTGTGTCCCTGAGCCCATCCACCTCACGTCATTCATGCAGCAGCATGTACATCATTGGTTCAGCTGTTTGCTGAGAATGCAGTAATTAAGGGCCAGGAGGAGCTACAGAATTTGGAGCAGCCTGCACTTCGTGTGCGGGTCCCCTGTTCCCTGGTAAGAAGGGAATAGAGATGCCCTGTGGATAGTGTCTGACACAGGGATCTGGAGCAGGCAGCCAGGACCCAACGTGGAACCTACGAACGAGTATCTTTCCTCCCTAAACGGCCTCTGACCCAGACATTCTGCATTTCCGCCTTTCTGCCCCACTTCGCTGAAGTCCAGCGCCTTGACCACTCGGCCATCCCGGTGCGTCCTGCCCCACTTTTCTGCCTGGACTTAAGGCCCTGTTTTGTGCAAGTTCTCCAGCAAGGTCTTGGTTGCTAGCTGACTTGAGCCTCAGCACCACGGTGTCCCAGATTGGCCTTTTCAGGCACTTGCTGTAGGCACAGGCAGAGAACCTGCACTCCCTCTGCTGCTCGTTTCCCACATTCTTCAGCTCGGATCGGCTTGCATTTTTAGTGCATGGAAATTGTAAATGCTGAGCAGGGATCCTGTGGACAGAGAAACTCCGTGATTTACCTGCAAATGGGCCTAGCTTCAGGGGACTGTGGAGACTGTGAGCATTTGAAAATGATTGAAGGGCCATGCCGGGTTATTAGGCCTGCTGCATGAAGGAAGTGAACAAATCGTGGGTAATAATGGCTGTTTCTTTGGTTTGCTTTCTGTTCTTTTAAGATTTATTTATCTGAAAGGCAGAGTGGTAGAGAGCAAGAGAGAGAAAGATTTTCCGTCTGTTTCATTCCTGAGTGGCTGGCCAGGTCTGTGCCAGGCTGAAGTCAGGAGCCAGGAATTGCATCCAGGTCTCCTGCATGGGTTGCAGGGGTCTGAGAACGTGGGCTGTGTTCCCGTGCTTTCCCAGCTGCAACGTTAGCTGGGTTGGAAGTGGAGCAGCCGAGACTCGAACCAGCCCTCTGGTAGATATGGGATGCCTGTGTCTCAGTCGGTGGCTGACCCTGCTGCTGTCCCCACGGATGGCTGTTTGATGTCTAACTTTGACCCGGATCGTATTTTTAAAACTATTCCTTGAGAAACTTGCTAATGTGTTTGTAACGAATGGAGATGAGGGTAGATTTTGTTCTGTATATGCTAGACATGGATATTTCTATGAGTTTTGTTTATCAAATATATGTGACCGTTTTCTTGAGGTATAGTTGATATGTCGTGCAGTCTACTCATTTAAAGTGCACAGTTAATTTTTTGTGTGTATATTCACCGTCGTGCAGCCATCAAGCAGTGGTTGGGGGCATTTTCATCACTTACAGGAAGCACCTGCAGGCGTCACTCATCCTTCATACCCACCCCTGTGCTCTCCTGGTCTAGGCAACCACCAGCTCTTCCTGTGGCACTCTGCTGATTTGCCCTTCCTGGACATCATGTACAAATGAAATAATGCAGAATGCATGATTATTTTCTTTAACATAATGCTTCCATTCATCATAATTAGAGCATGTGTTGGTACTTTATTTTTTATGGCCAAATAATACTCCATTGTGTGGATAATACCATATTTTACTTGTCCATGAGAGATTTTCACTTGGGGGCTACTATAAATGATAGTGCTGTGAACACGTGTGTGTCATGGGTGTAGGTGGACACATATCTGTGGGAGTGCTGGGCAGTTGTGCAGAGCTGCTGTGGAAGGAACTGACGGATCAGCACTGCAGGCTTTTACAGATAGACCGGGACTTTGTACGTGTTGGAGTAAACGCTGTGTTCTCTCTGCAGTTTTCCGGTGAGAATGCACAACGCTTGAAGAAGACCTATGGCAAGTTTTGTGGGCAGCACAACCAGTCTGTGAACTACTTCAAAGACCTCTACACCAAGGAGAAACGCTTTCAGACCTTTGTGAAGGTACTGATGTGAACCGTGAACCTGTCCGTCATTGTCACGAGCAGTCATCACTCACTGTCCATCTTAGCCGTAGCCTCTGCCTTGCGTGGTTCCTGATGACTCATTTGCTGTCTTGCAGAAGAAGATGAGCAGCTCGGTAGTAAGGAGGCTTGGAATCCCCGAGTGCATACTGCTCGTAACCCAGCGGATCACCAAGTACCCAGTTTTATTCCAAAGAATACTGCAGTGTACCAGAGGTGAGTCTGCTTTCGATCGCTGTCTCATCAGCCAGTGGTCTCTTCCCAGGTGCTCAGCAGTGCCGGAGCCCGTGTGGGGGAGCTACTTCATACTGGGTCTAAAAGAGAATCCTCTGTCTGATCCTAAAAACAGTTTTCTTGAGTAAAATTGTGGAATGTTTTGTCCCTGGGGTGAGGGCGGACAGCAGCAAGAGGGAAAGGAAACGCTGTCGGCTCCCCTGGGAGTCTGGTGACCGGTTCTCCCTGTGAGGGCTGGAACTGCTGCCACCGCTCAGTGCGTCAGCATTAACTGATTCCTCTCTCTCTTGCCAGTGCTGGCTTATAGGCAGTTCTGTAAAGATCAGGTAAAACAACTGCTGGCTCTCTACTGCTCTCCCTCCCTAGAAATCAGTGGGTCCTTTCATTGTGAAACTTAGCTCATACTCAGTGTTGTCCATGGCACTAGAAACTTCTGTCTTGAGAATGAGGTTTAGGATGGCACGAGGGATAGGCACGTGGCCTCCAGCTCCTGGCTCTCCTGTGGTTGTGGAACCACAGAGGGCGTGGCGGCAGGAGCAGGAGGCTGACCCGGCTCCCTCTCCCCTCGTCGGCAAGAGCCACTAACGACAGAATTATCCTTTGCTGCAAGACAACGAGGCAGAGCAAGAAGCCCTCACCCAGTGCCTGAGCCTGGTGAAAGAGGTGATCGGGGCTGTGGACAGCAAAGTGGCGAGTTACGAAAAGAAGGCACGGCTCAGTGAGTTCTACACCAAGACGGACAGCAAGTCGATCATGAGGATGAGTAGCGGTCAGATGTTCGCCAAGGAGGACCTGAAACGCAAGCAGCTCGTGCGGGACGGGATCGTCTCTCTCAAGAGCTCCGCTGGCCGGCTGAAAGGTGAGGCGCCCTTCGCCCCCGGGCCTGTGCGTTGGTGGGGGATTCGGCAGTGCCTTTCCCGCAGTAGCCACCCAGACATCACCCGGAAGCAACAGTACTTCTAGTGTCACAGAGAGAGAGAGAGGTCTTCCGTCCGCTGGTTCGCTCCCCAAATGGCTGCAACAGCCAAGGCTGGGCCAGGCTGAAGCCAGGAGCCAGGAGCTGCTTCTGAGCCTCTTGCGTGGGTGCAGGGGCCCAAGCCCTTGAACTGTCTTCCACTGTTCTCCCAGATGCGTCAGCAGGGAGCTGTATGAGAAGTGGAACAGTTGTGACTAGAACCAGCCCCTGTGTGGGATGCCAGTACTGCGGGCAGCAGCTTACCCACTACACCGCAGCGTCCGCCCCCTCTGGTGGTTTTAATCTGATATCCAAATGGATTGGTTTGCGGTAGCTTATAAATGAAATGAAGATACAGTGAAGTCTCAAAGTATTTTTTTTAAAGATTTATTTATTTATTTGAGAGGCAGAGAGAGAGAGAGGTCTTCCCTCTGCTGGTTCACTCCCCAGATGGCCACGTGGCTGGAGCTGCGCCAGTCTGAAGCCAGGAGCTTCTTCCAGGTCTCCCACGCAGGTGCAGGGGCCAAGGACTTGGGCCATCTTCTACTGCTTTCCCAGGCCATAGCAGAGAGCTGGATTGGAAATGGAGCCGCCAGGACTCAAACAGGTGCACATATGGGATGCCGGCACTGCAGGTGGCAGCTTTACCCACTACGCCACAGCAGCAGCCCCTTCACAGTATTCTGAAAACCTTGCCTCATGGGGTTGGCGCTGCTGGGCCCTGAATTGCAGCGCCAGCATCCCATGTGGGCACCAGTTCGAGCCCTAGCTGCTCCACCTACAATCTAGCACCCTGCCAATGCACCTGACTGACTCCTGCCGAGCTGGGATTCTCTGCCCTGGGCAGCTGCAGTCTCGGGGTGTGCCCCGGAGGTAGAAGCCCTCTGCAGTCTTCAGCTGCCAGTAGTCACCGTTCTCTTCCCTCCCCATTTCCACTTCGCAGAGGTCCAGGCCGTCCTGCTCACTGACATTCTGGTTTTCCTTCAAGAGAAAGACCAGAAGTACATCTTCGCGTCACTGGTAAGCAGAGTCACTGCCCTGCTGAGTCTCAGCGTCTGGGCGGGCGTGGACTTCAGCTCTGGCTGTCGCTGCAGCGCGAGCTCTGTGGATGGAATCGGGAGACACCTCTCTCCATCACAGCAGCTGCCGTTGGTCTTTGAACCACATGCTTTTGAGAGCATCTGGTCTTACCCACATCGCCGACCTCCTTAAGAGGCAGGCGCTGCGTTTGTGTGCGATGGACTTCCCCTGTCCCCGCCTTTCAGGACCAGAAATCGACGGTGATCTCCTTAAAGAAGCTGATCGTGAGGGAAGTGGCGCATGAGGAGAAGGGCTTGTTCCTCATCAGCATGGGGGTGAAGGACCCAGAGATGGTGGAGGTCCACGCCGGCTCCAAAGAGGAAAGGAACAGCTGGATCCGCACCATTCAGGACACCATCAACACCCTGTGAGCCCGCCCGGCCTCCGCGCCGCCCTGTCCCCGTCACAGTGGACGGTGACTGAAGGTTGGTGTCTGAGTCGTGTCCTGTGTTTGTGTCTTAGGAACAGAGATGAAGACGAAGGAATCCCCAGTGAGAATGAGGAGGAAAAGCGAATGTTGGACACCAGAGCCCGGGAGTTGAAAGGTTAGCAGGTGGGGTGGGTGGTTCTGGGCCCCCATCGCGGCCATCTCGAGGGCACAGGAGACTGAGACACTCCCAGGGGCACCGATTCTCCCGTCTCAGTGTCAGCGTCACCGGATGTTTTGCAAAATCATGGGCGCTTCTAAAATCCACACAAGAAGGAAGAACAGAATTTGAGGGTGAGAATTCTCAGTGGATCTGTTTCACACGTGTTCATCAGTGAGCTGGGGCGGGGGGCTTGGAGACAGACTTGTACCCTGTTTGACACTGTTTCTTGGGTAGCCTTGCTAGGAGCCCTGCTGGCCGGGGAGTCTGGCCCCACTGTACGGGTGAGGGCACTGAGGACCGTGAGACCAAGCAGACCGGGGTCATACACGCTGAGCGGAATCCGCGCTCTGTCTTACAACAGTGTGGCCTCCCAGTGGTTTTGAACATTCCGGGGTAAGGCCTGTGCTCGGGTAGCAGCAAGGCCTGGAGTCAACGGCTCCCCCCCAGGAGTTTTGCTGGTCCCTGGAGCTGCACAGAGAGCATTGTGTCACACTGCGGAGCCGAATCACATCCTCCTGTGAACTTTTGTTTGACCCCTGGCTAGGGTGCTGCTAGGTGCTGACCTTGCCTTTGGAAACGCACACTCATGAAACGGAGACAGACATAAGTGACAGGCCACAAAGTGGTTCATTAGAGCACTGCACGTGTTGTACATGTGGGAGCCGCCCATCCTGCCTCCTGGGGAGGCTGGGGCGTGAACTGCCTCAGAAGGAACTTAGCTGTCCACACAAGAAGGAGAGCTGGGTGCAGACTAAGAGGGACTCAATGCACCTGCCAGGCGGCGATGGTGTCAGCCATGATGGGTGCTTCAGCTGAAGGGATTGATTTTTCTTTTTAGTTGGCACGCTGAAAATGGACACACCAATGGGACAACTCCTAGATTGGGTTGGGTGAGGCCTGAGCTAGAGAGGAGGCGGGGGTAGTGAAGGACAGGGTCATCAAAACCTGGGCAGCTTGGGACCACTGTTGTGTAGCGAGTGAAGCCACCGCCTACAACACCTGCATCCATACGGTGCCAGTTCGAGTCCCAGCTGTTCCACTTCTGATCCAGCTCCCTGCTAATGTACCTGGGAAAGCAGCGGAAGATGGCCCAAGTGCTGGAGCCCCTGCCACTCACGTGGGAGACCCGGAGGAAGCTCTAGGCCCTGGTTTCAGCCTGCCACAGCCCCAGCCATTGCGGCCATTTGGGGAGAAGGCCAGCAGACGGGAGACCTCCTTCCCTCTCTCTCTGTAACTCTGCTTTTCGAATAAATAAAATAAATCTTTAGGGCCTGCCACTGTGGCGTAGTAAGCTAAGCCTCTGCCTATGGCCCTGGCATCCTGTATGGGTGCCAGTTTGGGGGTACTCCTCTTCTAATCCAGCATTCTGCTTATGGCCTGAAAGCAGTGGAAGATGGCCCAAGTACTTGAACCCCTGCACCTGTGTGGGAGACCTGGAAAAAGCTCCTGGCTCCTGGCTTCTTCCTGGCCCAGCCCTGGCCATTGCAGCCATTTGGGGAGTGAACCAGCAAATGGAAGACCTCTCTCTCTGTTGCTCCCTCTCTGTAACACTACCTCTCAAACAAATAAAAATAAAATGAATAAATCTTTAAAAACTTTAAAAGAAAAAAAGAATAAATAATTTTTAAAAATTAGAAAATAAATAAATATTGGAAAACAAGCAAGCCTGGTCAGCTGAGTGTGGGTGGAGGGACAGAGCTGAGCCGCTCTCCCAGACCTCCCAGTTAGCTGGGGGTGGGAGGGGAGAGTTGCCGATGAGGGAGAGACCACAAGTGGAAGGGTCTCTGTGGAGATGGCCACTGACCGTGGTACTCTGCAGAGAGGGCCGCGGGGACGGGGGCACTCACTGTGATTGTCAGCACACAGGAAGCAGTCGAGACACACCCACCCTCCCGGGACAGTGCAAGGCAGGGGTGGCAGAGGGGTGGCAGAGGAGGAGGCTGCTGGGTGCTCCTGTGGGTGGCAGATCTGCAGAAAGAGGGAAGGAGGCCCTGGAGGTGTGGCCTTGGGCTGGGCGGCTGTAGGGTGGTGGCCGCAGCAGGAAGTGAGCAGTGGGCTGAGCACTACCTGGGTCGGGGACTGCAGTGCCTGCCAGAGGCCGAGTGGTTTCACAATTCTTATTAGGGAGAAAACCATGTGTCTTCAGAGGGACTACTCCTTAACCACGTGATTAATTCTAGAATCAGGATGGTGGTGACTGGCAGATGTCGCCTAACTTAGTCTTCCACCCTCCTGAGGAGGGGCAGGTACTGCCGCTTTCCTCAAGTCCCCACAAGGGGGCGCGCGCGTCCCGGTCTCCTGTCCGACGCAGCCTCTCTCCTCCCTGCAGAGCAGCTGCGGCAGAAGGACCAGCAGATCCTGCTGCTCCTGGAGGAGAAGGAGGCGATTTTCCGGGACCTGGCGGAGTGCAGCGCTCCGCTGCCCGAGGACTGCTCCCCTGCTCACAGCCCCAGAGCCCTCTTCCGCGCCAGCACGCAGGAGGCTCTCAAAGGAGGACCGCTCATGAGAAGCGCGATGAGCGAGGGTAAGCGGCGTGCACCAGGGGCCGTGTGCAGCCACCTGCCAGCGCATACTCTGTTCTTTGTTACTCCCCGAGAAACTCATTCAGTCTCCAAACGAATGAAGCCAGGAGCCCAGGTCTCAGTCCAGGTCTCCCCTGTGGTTAGCAGGAGCCCAGCCCCTTGAGCCGTCGCCTGCTGCCAGTTGCCATTAGCTGGACGCAGGGTCGGGGCTGGAGCTCACACCCGGGCTCCGTGGGGTGGGACTCGGACGTCCCAGTCACTGACGGCGCCCCGTCTGTTAGAGAAAACAGATATCCTGCAGTAGCAGTTGTTGCCGGTGGGCCTCCATACAACGTGGTCCTAAGACCCCTCCACCCCGCCCCCCCACCTGCCCCTGCAGAGGGAGCAGGCCTCATGCTGCTGTGCGTAGTGACCCGCTTCAAGGTCCCATGGCCTCGGCTCCTGTTCCCAGACACTGCTGCTCAGCGGCTCCCATGTTTCACAGCAGACGTTTGAGTCAACACACGCCCCGCCCCGCATCCTCTTTCTGTAGCATTTCTTGTGATCGCGCCTCCAGAGCCCCTCCATTTCTGCCTGGTCTCACACTTGCCCAGTGCAGCGCCTTTGCCGAACTGTTGTGGCAGGGCCGCTGCTCCCAGACAGGGTCCTCGGGTGCTGCCTCCTGGAGGGAGCAGCACGTCTGCCCCGTGCTCTCTCTCCACCAGGCCTGAGTCTTCTCTCCCAAGTGCGTGTACTAGTGCCCAGCGCTCAGCTGGCCTAGGCAGCACCCCTGTGTCAGCACGGTGCGTGGAGCTTGCTGTCTGGCGGGGGCTCCGGAGGCACCCCTGAGGGTGCTGTGTGCTGAGGTCACGTGCGCCCTCACCCTGATAGGCTGCTGCGGGCGTCGGGCCCTGGCGTGCGTGCTCTGGCGGGGAGCGTGGCCGGCAGCGCCTGGCTGTGGGTGGATTTCCCAGGCGCGGCGGGCTCACTCCGTCCAGGCAGCTGTAGCAGCTGCGCCTTGCTGTGCTGGCTGCTGCTCCTTGCCCACATTTTGCAGACTTGGGGAGAGCGGCGTTGCCCTGCAGTGTGGCGATGCTGGTCCCAGCGCTGGCCGCACGCGCCCCGGTTCCCCAGACAGCGTCGTCTGTCCTCGGCGCTTGCCGCCTGCCCCCTGCCTCGCGTGCGGCCACTCCTCTCACCCGCCGCCTGCTTGGCTGTTCTCGCCTGGGTCTGTCTGTCCTCGCGCTCTGCTCAGCTTCCTTGTACAGTGATACTGTGTGCTCACTTTCACCTCCTGTGTCTTCCCCTCCACTGAGTTCCTGTCTCCCGGGTCACCCTGTTTTATGCTCAGCCTGTGTATTTCACAAGCCTGTTGTCCGGGTGAGCTGTCTGACTTGTGGGATTTGACTTCAGTGTTTTTCTGTTGCTCGTTTTTATGTGATGCTAATTTCTTAAATTTTTAGGTTCGGAGAGCTTTTCTGACTTCCTAGGGTTCCCGCGTGTTGTCTTTCTGTCCTGTTCTCTAAGGCCAGGCAGCGTGGTCTGTGGGCTTTCCTGCCTGTGTTTTGTTTGCCCTGCACCCAGCCTCCAGCTCACGTGTGGCGCTTTCTCCCCTCTGAGCTCTGCCCTGGCAAACAGTCTTGGCTGGGGCTTGCACCGCTCTGCATCGGAGTCACCCATCACGTGGCAGGACGCCTCTTCCGGCAGCTCTGGGCCTTGTCCAGAAGCCGTGCTCCGTCCAGTCAGTTGCTGTGCCTCCCTGTTCCTTTTGGAACCCCCTACGCCTCCCTATCTATGCATCGGGGTAGAGGTTTCATCTGTTTCCAGCAGAACCCACTAAAACCCACACGTACCTGAGACCCTCCTCTGAGCAGGGCGGTCATCCTGCTTCCCGTCTGTGTCCCGCGTCACCTTGAGAGAGGAGAGGTCAGTTGTGCGTGTTTTCTCTTTCCCAGTGGAGGTCCTTCAGGGTTTGGTGAGTGGAAGTCTGGGAGGCCCCCTGGGGCAGACGGCCAGCAGCCCTGTGGAGCAGGAAGGCAGCGTGGGCCCTGTGTCCTTGCCTCGCAGAGCAGAGACCTTCGGCGGATTTGACAGCCACCAGATGAACGCTTCAAAAGGTATGGGATTTGAACCCACGTCTTGGACGGGCAGCCCAGATCCCCACACCTGGGAACGGCCTCTGCCGGGGGTGCCAGCCCTCTTCCGCACGCGGCAGTCACTGTGTGCCCCAGCCTGGCCGGTTTTGACTGTAACAGAAGATTCTCTGGCATCTGGGCTACAAAGAGCCAAATCGGAAGCTGCGTCTGCTTCCTCCTGCTGGAGTTAGCTGCCTGCAGGCCGGCTTGAGGTGGGGCAGCAGCAGGACTCGGGGGCGTCGAGTCTCTAAAGGGTCTGGAGCGGATCGTCCGCGGCTAAGCCTGGAAGGACAACCACAGAGCTCTCTGTCTGTCTGTTTTTTGTTTAGGAGGTGAGAAGGAAGAGGGAGATGATGGCCAGGATCTTAGGAGAACGGAGTCAGACAGTGGTCTGAAAAAGGTATTCCTGCCTCGTGTGCGCTCCCTGGCTCCCTCCGTGGCCCACCCCCAGAATCCGTAGCCCTTGGAGCTTTCCCATTGTGATCTTGGTTTAGACGCCTGACGTGCTGCTTTTCATGAAGTCGTACTTTATTTTCAGGGGAAAGCACAGTTTTAAAGAATGAACAGTACAGCGAGGCAGCCCACGCTGCTGGTGCTCAGCCTGTCTGGCTCAGAACACTGTGTCTGCCCTCACAGCCGTGCTGTGGCCTGGGCAGAACTGGTTCCAGCAGGAACTTGCTTTTGATGCCCCAGACCAGCAGGTCTCTGTATCTGGCTGCAGTAGCAAACGGCTGCCCCTCGGGTCTTGGTGTGCTGCAGTGGGAGGCTGCACCGTGAGTGCTGGATACAGTGTCTGCGCCAGGGTGCTCACTTCTGAAGCACTGTCTTGTTTTATAGGGTGGAAACGCTACCCTGGTGTTTACCCTGAAGAGAAACACGGAGGTAAGCTCCTGGTTACCTGCTGCTTCTCACTGAAAGGTTCCCGCCTTCGCCTGCGCCTCTCTGTGCCCTGCAAGCCGAGTGCAGGCTGCCTTTGGCACACAGAGCCGCACAGCTGTTGGTCTCCTGGACTCTTGCTGTTGGCCTGCCCCCGGCCAGCTTCTTGGAGATCTGCTCTGACCGTGACCTCTGACCCTCTGTCCTTCGGCAGCGTCCTCTGTCCTCAGCTTTCTGTGACTGCGGGCCCTGCAGCCTCTCTGGTGTCTTCCAGCTCAGACACACGAGCAGAGTTCGCAGCAGCTTTTTTTGTAACACAAACCTGGTGCCAGAAGCCACAAGTGGACCCTGGAGATGAACTGGGGGTGATTCCAGGTGGCAGCTGTCCCTCTTCTGTATACCTGCCTGTGTGGGGTCACTCCCCACCGTCAGGGCTGTCAGACTGCCTGCTGTGCTGTCCCGGTGCTGCGCTCAAGGCAGCCTTCACTTAACTGACAGTGGCCCAAACACAAGGTCAGGGGCGCTGCCCGGGCAGAGATGCCAGAGAGAAGGCTGGGCTGCTGCTTTGGAGGGAGAAGTGAGGTGCATCATGGGATTCTACTGCATTACTTTGCCACCCTCCCTGTGCCTCAGCTTTTGTGTTTTTTCAATTTATTTGAAAGAGTTAGAGGGAAAGACAGGTTTTTCTGCAGGGTTATGCCCCAGATGGCTGCCGCAGCCAGGGGTGCACCAGGCCAAAGTCAGGAGTCTCTTCCAAGTCACTCACATGGGTGCAGGGCCTCCAGCACTTGGGCCGTCTTCCGCTGCTTTCCCAGGCCATTAGCTGGGTGGGAACTGGAGCGGCTGACACTTGAACTGGCGCCCACGTGGGATGCGGGCACCGCAGCCGACAGCTTTACCTGCTGTGCCAGCACTGGCTCCTGTGCCTGTTTTAAACTCAGCTTTGTCATAGGTGTGCATGTGTGGGAGCCAGCGTGAGAAATGGGGCTCAGTGCTATCAGGTGTCTGACATCTGCTGGGCGTCTGGGAACCCATCCCCATGTCAGAGGGGTGACTGCGTGCAACGCCTGCTCTCTAAGCTGTATTCTCAGTGGCGGTCTTTGTGTTTCTTCCTTTTCTCTTTCATCTTGCTTTTGAGGTCCTGAGGAGCTTTGTCTTATGAACTTAAATTAAAAGAAATATTGCCTCCCACCCCCCCAAATGAAAAACACAGGAGGCTGTTGGTATTGAAGTCTAACTTGGGTGGTGTCCTAATGGAGTCCCCTCACTGGCCTCAGCGTGGGCCCACACAGGCTGCTGGCTAAAGCAGTCGCTGGTCGGCTTTCCCGTGTGGCAGCAGCCTCCGCGGTGTGTGGGGAGGGTGGCCAGGGAGACGGCGGGAGCAGTCATGGCCGAGGCTTCCCTGGGCCGCGGCAGCTGAGAATAACCCTCGCGACAGGCAGAGCCTACTCTCAGGAGACCGGCGTGTTGTGATGGAGTTTTTGCATTTTGTTGATGAATGACTTGTTTTGGGTATTAGAAAAGCAGTACATGTTTTTGGAAGAAAACTGGAAAAATGTTGAGAACTATAAAAAGAAAAGAGAGCGGTGGTGTGCCTTACTTAATAACCACAGTCCCACACGAGGGGCCACTGCTGGAGCCGGGAGAGCAGTCACGGTGCCCACACTGCAGCAGGCCCCGCCGCGCGCTCTCCCCCGGGTGGCCGGGAATGCGGCCCGCGCTCCCGGCCACCTGCCTGTTCAGTAACCCGGCCGAGAGCACCCGCGCGGCGCTCTGCTGGGCTCTTCAGGGGACTGCCGGCGCCCGGGTCTGCCCGAATCCCGATCGCACCTTGTGTTGTCTTGGCAGCAGGTGGTGCAGAGCATCGTTCACCTGCACGAGCTCCTGAGCACCCTGCAGGTACGTGCCTTGCCGGCCGCCGGCCGCCGGACGGGGTTGCTGATGTGGACGTGGGGCCTTCCGTGGTGGGGAGGGTGCCCGGGGCCTTCCAGGACTCGCAGAGGCCACAGCCTGGGGCTGCAGGCACAGCCTGTGGGTATGCCCGTGCACCTGGGCTGCTGCCTGCTTGTAGGCTGCATACCCCATGCCTCTGTGTAGCACTTGGACAGGGTGACCCTGGGAATGCCTCACACTCTGCTCACTTCTGTCCCAGACACAGAACCTACACACCCCTGCACAGCACATGCACTCCCCTCAGCCCCGGCAGTGCCGCTGGCTCCTCTGGCGATGACTGGTGCTTCCTGCGTTCTGTGGGTGCCTGCAGCTGGTCCCCCCCGCCACCGTGTTTCCCCAGGGCGTGGTGCCCTCTGCGTTCTGTGGGTGCCTGCAGCTGGTCCCCCCCGCCACCGTGTTTCCCCAGGGCGTGGTGCCCTCTGCGTTCTGTGGGTGCCTGCAGCTGGTCCCCCCCCGCCTCCCGTTTCCCCAGGGCGTGGTGCTGCAGCAGGACAGTTACATCGAGGACCAGAAGCTGGTGCTGAGCGAGAGGCCGCTCACGCGGGGCGCGTCCCGCCCCAGCTCCCTCGTGGAGCAGGAGAAGCAGCGCAGCTTGGAGAAGCAGCGTCAGGACCTGGCCAACCTGCAGAAGCAGCAGGCCCAGCACGCCGAAGAGCGGCGCCGTCGCGAGCGGGAGTGGGAGGCCCGTGAGCGGGAGCTGCAGGCGCGGGAGGCTCGGCTGGCGGAGCGTGAGGAGCAGGTGCAGCGGGGCCAGCGGGACCTGGAGAGGGAGCGAGAGGACCTGCAGCAGCGGAAGGGCGCCTACCAGTGCGACCTGGAGCAGCTGCGCGCCGCCCAGAGGCAGCTGGAGAGAGAGCAGGAGCGGCTGCGGCGGGACGCTGGGCGGCTGGGCCAGGGCCACGTGGAGCGTGACCTCTGCCAGGTAGTGGGCGCCCTGCCAGCCGGGGTGACGAGCAGCACAGGCAGAGGGTCTGTAGGGAGTGCTCTAAGACAGCGGGCGGAGGTGTGCCGGCTTGTACCGGATCTTTGTCACCCACAAGGGCAGCAGTGATGGGGAGTGCGTGTTTTTCTGCTTTTTGCATGTCCAAGAGGTTGAGGAAGAGGATGGCAATGCTGGAGGGTATGGCCAGGATCCAAAGGGCTCCTGGAGCTGACCCCCTAGGCCTGGGCTAGAGCAGCCTTAGGCATGACTGCCCTCCACTCCTGCTACTTTTGTGCCGTGTCCGAAGTCAGGCATGGGGGCTGGTGGTGGGCAAAGTAGGTTAAGCCCCTGCATGTCATGCCAGCATCCTGGATTGGAGTGCCGCTTTGAGTCCCAGCTGCTCTGTTTTCTCTCCCCTTCCTGCCAACGTGCTTGGGAAGGCAGTGGAATGTGGCTCTCGTGGGAGACAGATGGAGCTCTGGCCCTGGCTGTTGCTGGTATTTGGGAAGTGGACCAGCTCTGTCTGCCTTTCAAATAAATGAATAACTCTAAAAATAAATCAGGCAAGTCTCCCACCTGAAGGAGTTTGTCACCTGATGGGGAAACACAAGGATGAGGGAGCCCCCAGAACCCAGGGTCAGGGAACGGCGTGGGTTCACGACTTCCTGAGATGCTGCAGGGGCGGGGTCAGTCAGAGCAGTGGAGGCAGCTGCTGCCCGCACGTGCAGCTGGGAATCTTGTGTGGAGACCTCAGGCCCCACTCCTTTCTGGTTGGCCTTCCGCCTGTTGACACAGCCTCGGGTGTCTGTCCCTGCTGCTGTGGGAGGGCTCTCGGGTCCCCGGCACGCTGGCTCCGGGGTTATTTTGGCGGTATTCCATGGTGATTCTGGACCATGGGCATTTGTGGCGGGTGGAGAGCCCGGCTGCACACGCATCTGCTGCCTGAAAACCCTGCTGTGTTGCCATTTGACTCACTGACCTTGAAATGTGAAAGAAAATTCACTTTTGCAGAGGCGCTGGGAGTCCAGTGGAGGGCACCAATCCGCAAGGCGGCATTCGGCTTGGCCGCTGGGCCTGGCCCTTGCCTGGGAGCGTGGCGCAGCTCCTCCTGCCCTGCAGCCGGCACGTGCCTCTGTGACCCCTTGGCCTCCGTCCCTGTGTAACTCAGCCTTAAGGTCGGAACTCTCCATGTGTTGCATGATGAAGGGCTCTCCCCCGAGCTGCCCCAGCACGGCTGTGTGTTCATGCCCAATGCAGTTGTCAGTGTGCCCAAGGTGGTGTCTTTAAGAAGTTCACAGACATAGTTCATAGTGGGGAGAGCAGTGCGGCCGGGGAGCTGTGGCTGCCCCGCAGTGAGATGTGTGCAGTGCCCAGAAGCCAGCACAGCGGACGGAGTTCAGCCTGGAGTAGATGGCAGGGGTGCTGACGCCTCTTTGCATGCGTGCAGGTCTCCCGTCCACACGGCAAGCTGATGAGGATCCCGTCCTTCCTACCCAGCCCTGAGGAATCGTCTCTGCCGCCCGCACCCGCCGCTGCCAGGTCAGGGCCGTTGGACTCCGAGCTTTCCGTGTCCCCAAAACGGAACAGCCTGTCCCGGACACATAAGGATAAGGGGACTTTCCACATCCTTGGTTCAGCCAGCCAGACTCACAGAGGGCCAGAGGGGCCGAGCCTGCCCCCTGGGTGCTCCTCCTCCTCCTCCACACCCTCCTCCCGCCTGTTTGGCTTAGCGAAGCCGAAGGAGAAAAAGGAGAAGAAGAAGAAGAGCAGAGGAGGCCGCATTCAGCCGGGAGGTGAGACCCCACTCCGCTCGGAGGGGACGGCGCCCTCGGGCCACGGGGATCGCAGAGCTGGGCCTCGCGTGGGAAGACCGCCCCTGCCCCAGACAGGTGCGCCTTTCCTGCAGAGGCGCCGGAACTCGCCTAGACAGAGCGCCCGCGTCCTCCCCTCTTCCTCAGCCCAGCCCCGCAGCTGACACCAGGCGGGGGCATCTGGTGCTGCGGCTTTCAGAAGCCTGGAGTAAGACAGCAGGGAGCCACAGCAGTGCCAGGGCCTCCCCTTGCCCTGCCTCACCTCGCCCCACCCAGGCCTCCGGGTCTCACTGTTAGGTTTGCTCTCACGGTGGCGCGGGGTGCTACAGCACACATTCCGTCCCCCAGCCCGTCCCCCAGCCCCGCTGAGCAGAGCAGTCCCGGTGCTGAGGCGCGAGTGAACGGGGGCGGGGTGAGGAGGGGGCAGAGCCCGCGCACCGAGCCTGCCGGGAAGTCCCGGGTGCCGAAGGTGCAGGTGCCCTGCGCCCGAGCTGGGTCGCCTTGCGGGAGGTGTGGCTGGGGAGGAAGGGCATGAGCGGCCTGTTCCTGAATCTTTCTGTCCTGGCCTTCGCCTCGCAGAAGCTCCTGTGTCAGAAGCATCAGCAGAGGGGGAAGAGATCTTCTGCTGAGCGCCGCCCCCCCGCCCTCCTGCTGCCCTGCCTGCGTGCGCAAGCTCCCCCGCACCGGATGGCCTGTCCTGGGTTCCCAGGGCCTCGGGGAGAGGAGCAGATTGTCTCGTGAGTCAGGGTGGAGAGAGGCCCAGACCCTGCTTTGTCTGTGACCTGTGGGTGCCCAGAACTCACAGGTGGGGCCGGCTGCGCCCAGGCCTCTGTTGAAGGTGGTGGCCCCAGAGTGCAGGTGAGCTCCTGGGCACATCCAGGATCCCTGAGAGCTGAACGAGTTGCCAAACGAGGTCTGAAACTCCTGCTGCCTTTTATTTGGGGGAACATGACCAAAGTGAATGAGCAGAGAGCTTGGACTGTCTGTGTGCTCACAGGGACCGTTGGCCTGGACACCCAGGGCATGCCACAGCACACGGTGTGTGCCCGAATTAGGCCCTTGTAGCTCAGCACGAGTGGCAGTGCTGTGCTGCTGGGCGCATGGCACTTGGTGCTCACCCACGGTCTTCAGAGGCTGTGCCCTCCCCTGTGAGACCAGGGGAGGGCGGGATCTGCCCACCCTGACCTCTCTCAGGGCGCTCAGGGGAAAGAAGATGGCGTGTCGTCACGATCCCCAGGAAGTGCATGGTTTTCCAAGTAGTTTGCCCTCACGTTCTGGGCACCGATAAAATGAGAGGCGCCTCACCAGCTCTCCCTGCGGTGTGACACTTGCTGGTGTCACAGAGTACCCATGAGTGGCACTCTCCCTGGTAATGTTTCTGAAACCTTGGCGGCCCCCAGGGCAGCTCCTGGTGGGACCGGGCAGGGACCACTGGCGGAGAAGGAGGTGCAGGTGGAGGGCTAGGCCTGGCTGCTGCCTCTGCAGCCCACACAAGGAGCTGGCCCAAGACACACTTCGACCCGGGTCAGGAGACCTTGGCCAAGTTCTGTTTCTTAAGCATTTTTCCAAGTTAACGTCCGTCATTAGTAATTGGGCTGTACCCCTCAGAGCTGTCACAGATGCTGCCTGTGTCTTTTCTCCTCTTCCTTCTCCGCTGTGTCCGTGGTCTGTGTGTGCTGGGCTGTCCTCGCTGGCATCCGGTGCCGTCTCTGGGGCCCCGGGAGGCTGCGCTTGCCACATGGCCTTTGGTGCCTGCGCTCTGCTCCTGGAGGCGGGGCCCTGGACATTCACAGAAACAAAACCATCTGTAACCTGGTGCTGGTTGGTGAGGCGCAAGCTGGCCTTGCAGGTGGGGTATTTATCTTTCAGTTTATTTGAAAGAGGTCTGGTTCTGAATGTGTAACCTAGATTTGTTTTATTTATTGTGTGTGTGTATGTGTGTGTGTGCAACCCTGAAGTGCTGAGCTGAGGCGGCCGCTGCGCCGCCAGCTCCCCCACACCCGCCTTCCCAGGGACCTGGCGGTTCCAGTGGAAGCGCAGGCTTGGGGAAGGTGCCCGGGCCTTCCCTCCCGACCCTCGGGCCATCCTTGTCCCAGTGTCTTCCTTGAGGAACCTGCCGCCTCTGTGGGATGCCTTTGCTTTAATAAATTCTCAGCCCCAGAAAGACTTCGAAACTCAAGCCCTCTGTTTTCTGCTGGAGCCGTGGTGCACCCACTACAAAGCCCAAACAGCGACCAGTCTGGTGCTTCCTCCACTGCTCCATACAACTCCCAGGTTACAGCCAAGACCTGCCGTGGCTGCAGGACCCGGCCACTGGCCTGTCACCCCTGTGGCTCTGCCCCTCGCCCCACCCTGCAGAGTGCTGTGCTGGCCGGGAAGGCCTGGCTCCTCCCCGGGGCTCGCAGGCAGGCAGTCTGGAGCCAAGGTGAGCGAGCCTGTGGCCTGCAGTCTGCAGCGGACGCTGTCCACAGCCTGCCACTCCCACCTGGCTGCAGCGGCCCTGGCTTGTCAGGGAACGAGCGCTGTGGAGCAGAAAGAGCACTCCCCGAGAACGGGCGCCCCTGCCGGGCCTCGCCCTCCTGCTTTGAGCTTGGCCGCGAGGAGATCCATTTTTGCTGCTGTGCTCTGGCTGTGATCTTGAGCGCTCGGGGTCCGATCCCTCCTGCCTCACTGTCCTGGGGACCCGGATTTCATCCCGAGACCGCTCCCCACCTCCCTGAAGAAACCAAGTGCCTGGCGTCGTGTGGGTTTGGGCGCACAGATGGAGCTGCCCACCCAGGGTGCCGGTTTCCAGAGCGGAGTGCTCCTCCCGGGAGGAGGAGCCTGTGGCGCCACAGGGCCGTGACACGTGCACGTGCGTGACCCTTGCGGCCAGCTTCCTCAGACAGTCCAGTGTGTGCCTGTGTCTCCTCGGAAGTGGGGAGGCTTAGACCACGCAGCCTGCCTTCGCCGCCGTCTGCAGGGAGGGCCTTGCGGGAAGGTACCAATTCTGCCTTTTTCCTTGTCGTGTCTCAGGGCAGCAGCACTCACCACCGGCCTGTGCTGTTTCCTCCCCCTCCGTGGTCTCCCCGAGGCCTCCGTGAACAGAAAGCACCCATTCAAGAGACCCCTTGGGGCTGTGTTCGGCCCTTTATCTGAGGATGAGGTATAGGGTGCAGGGATTCGATTTAGTTCCCTCCCTTAAAGGGTGGAACCTTCTGGGCCAGAGGTTGCTGTGCATACAAGTGCTGTTTCAATCTTTGTCTCGAAAGCTCTTCCCTTAGCTAGTTCCTTCCTCCCAAGGCCTTGGCGTTGGCATTGGCGCCGAGCTTCACTCCAAGGACCCGCGCCACTGTGCCACTGTGCCTGGAGGTCAGCCCAACCCTGGTGAGGGGACTGTGTCCAGAAGGAGGGTGCAGCAAGGCTGTCCCGGCACCGCGCCTGTGTCGGCTGTGCCCACGCATCCTCTGACACAGGGCAGAGTTGGTTTGCATTGGTTCTTAACCTCTCCTCTGCCACAGCGAAACGCTGCTAGGCAGCTAGAGCTTGGGGGTCCGGAGCCTGCTGGCCAGGTTTCAGAGGGGGAGGTAGAAGGATGGATGGGAAAACAGGCATCTTTTACTTCCTCATCTCATTTAAACTGTCAGGTATCAACAGGTCACGGTCTCCATCTCCCTAAGCTTTGTGGGGGGCTCTACGGCTCCTGGCTGCCCCCTCGCCACGCCCAGCCCCATGTCCCCCACCACGGGAGCAGGCGACCTGCCCTTACGGGGCCCCCACCGTGCTCCACAGGAAGCACAGACCCTGCTCCCCAGACCTTCCCCGCCCCACGCTTCCGCCTCTGGCCAGCACCTGAGGCACAGGCCGTCCCGGGTGCCGACGGGACAGTGCCGGTCAGCCTCCCTGTGGCTGGGTCAGCTGTGGGCTCCTGTGTCACGCACCGCGCGCCCCGTGCTCACTGCTGTCTGCAGATGTCACTGCTTCTGTGCTCAGTCCCATTGCAGGGAAGGAGGCCGGAGCCCAGCTGTTGTGCGTGGACTTGTAATTATGTACACAGTGAGCAGTTGTGAACTGTACCTTTTTTTCAGTGTGTTTTCTGGAATTTTGCCATGACATACTGGCTCTGTATTTGATTTATCTTCCTTCCTAGTTACTGGCTTCAGACTTGTGAAGTCCTCCCAGCCCTCCCAAAAAAATTAAATAAATGAACTTCCTTTGAAGTCTAGATTGTCACTGTGAGTGATCTGCGTGGGCAGAGGTGCCCTCCAGGGTGCAGGGTGCCGTGGGTGGGGAGGAGCGGGACGGGGGTGGGGGGTGGAGGCCTGTGGCGTGACGCCCCTGAGGAGGAAACCATGAAACACACCCGCCGGCACAGGGCCGTACGCGCAGTCAGGACTCGGGTTTCCGGGGCGCACGTCAGTGCCGTCACCCGGGGCCCTCCGCCTTCAGTAAAGTGTGGAGGAACGGAACGCACGCTGGAGATGGCGAACTGTTTCCTCGCAGAGCTGCACCGCGCTCCGGACCCTGGACGCCGTGACAGCAGCCACCAGTCCCTGCCTGAAGAGCTGAGGGCCCAGGAGCAGGAGGCCTGCTGACGTCACCACCTGGAGAAACGGGGAGCCTGCAGGCGTGGGGGAGCCGCATGGGGGCCGTCGGGACTGCGTCTCACAGAGCCTGCCCGTGGGCTGTGCACCATGCACTCAACACACGCTGTTCATCTGGTCCTCTGGTCCCCAAGGCCAGCGCCTCGCCCACCTGCCAGGAGCCTGCCCTCCCTGGGTCCAGGGAAGCTGCAGAATCTGATTTTCCCATCGGAGGTTCTGCTCTTGCCTGCGCCGACCCGGGCACGCCGTTTGGTGCCTGTCGAACAGCAAGTGCGCTCCACTCGCGTTTTCCTGTTGCAGCTGCGTGAGCGGAAGCAGCTGGGTGGCATGCCGTCCGGACTGCTCCTCGCCGGTGCTCAGCGTGCCGCCCGGCCGCCGCGTCGCCGCGTCCCTTCTGTCCCTTCACGGGCTGCACCCGGCCTCACCGCCCGTGGGACGCTCCTGCTTCACTTGAATGTGGCTCGGACAGGAGTCTTCCACACTGATCCTTACCAGTGCCTCGGCCTAGATCCCGTTCAGACCGTGTTGAAACCAGTAAGGACAAGTTTATTTTGATGCCAAAAAAAAAAAAGAAAACCACCACTTTTGGGTGCATACATCGTTTCTGCATAAAATGCATTTTCCTTGACCAGTTACTGAAGACCCGCCCCGCCCACGGGGAGAAGCGACTGCCTAACAGGTTCCAGGAGCGGGGATGAGCCAGTCTGCCCTCAGATGCCGGCTCCTGTGCCGCCTGCCCAGCCAGCCTGGCTTGCCTTCCTCCCCGCCGGCCCCGGAGAAACCGCCACGTGCAGCAACGCCGAGCGTGGGGGCACCGCCGCGGGAGCCCTGCCCTTCACAGCAATGGAAGTCCGCAGGGGGCCACCGTCTGCCTTCTCTCCAGGACCATGGAACACAGGGCTTTCTCGGGAGTCCTGTATCCCTGGCCATGGCTACCGCCCCAGAAACAGTGAAGCACTGGTCTCCACCCCCTCCCAGCCCTGCAGTCCCCGCCCCACCCCCACCCCCACCAGGAAGCCTTCAACAGGCAGAAGGGAGTTCCCACGGCCTCCCGCCAGGCCTGTGTGGCTGGCTCTGGGCCAGGGTCGGGCTCGCTCACTCACACTGTCAGGAGACAGAACAAGTCCGTTCTCTTCCGGAACAGCGGAAGCACAAATGGGCTCCAGTCCACGGGTGGTCACGCCCACCTGCTCCTGGGGGCCACAGCACAGATGTGGCCTGTGTGACGGTGCCAGGGGCCCGCAGGCCACATGAGGAGACCTCAGCAGAGGGTCTGTGCGGCGGTCGGAGACTTGTTGCAGGAAAACGCGGAGGGAGGATGGCAGGCCTGAGGCGGCCAGGCTGGAGGCAGAAGCAGGACCCAGGTGAGCTGAGCTCTACCCTGGGCAGTGGCACTGCGAGCCCTTGTCATGGTGGCAGGGATGGTGGGCCTGGATGCCACCCCGAGGAGCACACCCAGGAGCCCACGTCCCTCCCTGTGCCCTTGAGATCGTCCCCTGTTCTTCAGGGCCGCAGCTGCAGGCCACCCCAGGGCGGTGGAGCAGCCCCGTTCCCGCCCTGCTACTCCTGGGCTGGGAAGGAGCTGGCCTGCCCTGTGCACCTTGGGTCCCCGTTACAGCCCCAGGCCCCTCTGCACGTGGTGCTGCTTGCTCCACACAGCTCGGCTGCTTCCCCATCCAGGAGTCACTTGCTGTCTCTGGGGACACAGGACAGAGGGTCCAGGAGGCCTCAGGGGGAGCTGATGGGTTGGGATGGGGGGGCAGCAGCTGAGAGGCCCCTCTTCCCCGGCCCCTCCCCCCTTCCCTGGGAGCCAGCCCTGAACTGACTTCCCACTGCCAGTTGCCTTGACAACCGTGCGCTTTCCCACGTGGTGTCTGATTCTGTGGATCAGAGGAGGGGGACGCTGGCAGCTGAAACAAAGCTGCATGCTGGGGGCCGGTGCGGGCCAGCCCCAACTGGCTGCTGCCCTTTCCCACACGTGACCTCCTTGCCAGTAGCTGGGCTGGACCAAGGTGAACGCGGGTGTTCTCACAGGGCTGGCACACGGCCTGCAGTGTGGCCACCAGCCTCAGGATTGCAGGGGCTGCTGCCTGGGCAGTCCAGCAGAGCTGTGCGGTTCAGCTGGCCAAGCTTGACTCCTGCCCACCAGCCACCTCCCCTAGGAAGCCACCTCTGGTGCCAGGCAAACCCACCCCCACCCAGCCCTGCCGCTGGCCTCCCCCAGGCCCCTGGCCCACATTTCCCATCCAAGGCTCCGGTGCCTGGGCGCTGGGAAGTGGCCGAGGACCAGCCTCCCTGCCACCGGGGCTGGGATGGCTGCGATGGCTGGGAGCCCCATCGCCCAGCCTCTTCCCCTCAAAACAGCCCTGGCAGCCCTGCCGCTCCTGCCCAGGAGGCCAGCACACCCTCTGCATCCTGAAACAATGGCCCAGCTTCTCGGAGCTTCATCCCCGCATCAGACAAGGAGCCACGTGGCCTCTGTGGTTTCTGTGAGACCTCGCAGCTGCATCGTGGACGCACGTGGCACTCCCAGGACGGCGGCCTCCGGGTGCGGTGTCAGGAGCCCTGACGGTTCTGGGTTCCTCCAGGCAGAGCCCGTCCGTCCACGTTCTGTCCCGGGGGGAGTCCTGGGCAGGCACTCACTGGGCTGCCCACAGGAACCTCCTTCCACAACCTCGTGGAACTTGGGTGACTGGCTCCAGGCTCTCGCCTCTGACTCAGTAACGCCAGCGGGGACGCGAGCCGATTTGCCAGCAAAGTGAAGCACACACTCCGCAGGGGGACGGGCACGCCCGGAGGTGCAGGCGCAGGGCTGTCTGGGCGGGGCCCAAGAACCACCCCTTTCCTTGTCTTGGAAAAGGGCAATGCAGCGGGGCCAGGTGCATGCCGGGGAATGAAGGTGTCAGTGCAGGAACTTGATGACGATCTTATATTAGCTAAAGAGGATGTAGCCAGTGCCAGTGCTGTGTTTAAATTTTTATTTAAATATATTTATTTGAAAGGTAGAGTTAGACTCTTCCAGCTGCTCATTCACTCCTCAAGTGGCCACAATGGCTGGGGAAAGTTGAGCTGTGATTTTTAAACATTTGCAAACACCTGTAATCCCACAGCCCAGAATAACCACGCGGCCACCTTGCACTAGGACTCCCAACGCGGGGCAGGCGTCTGGCCATCGAGGCACTCGCGTCCCACGCCCGGCCACCGAGACTCGGCTGCCGCGCCTGATGCCGGCTCCCTGCTAAGATGGACCCTGGAGGGCACCGGCGACGGCTCAGGTGACTACTCCCGCCATTCAGGGTGGGAGACCTGGACCGAGCGCCTGGCTCTTCAGCCTCTCAAATGCTAGAAGCTCCCCACCGTCTGCCCAAGCTCCAGTGCACACCTGGCAAGTCGGAGGCCGCGCTGGGTGTGGGGGCCTCACCACGCCCCGCCACGCGTCTCCAGGCTCACGCATCAGCGGCGGCTCCAACCTTCTCTGCGCCGTTCCAGAGAACCTTGGGAGCTCACGCTCAACAGAATTCCGACGCTGCTGAGGCCGCGCTGACAGCGTGGCCCGGGTGGTTACCGTGCGTCCGGCCGGGGCTCGGGGCTGCCGGGCGGCTGGGAGCGCCTGAGCCTGGCACCCTGGCATGTGCGTGGTCAGCCGCAGGCACAGGTGCCCGTGGTGGGTGGTGGGTGGGCCAGCCTGGAGGGACCAGTGGTGTCCTAAATCTGACCATGACGACGCTGCACCACCGTGTCCGTCCTGGAAACCGCCGAGCTGTACCCTCTGGGGCCAGCACGTGACACGGGCGACAGCCACCACCACAGGGATACACACGTGTCACCATTTATCACGGCATACAATTTATTTTACTTTTTATTTTTTTGACAGGTAGAGTTATAGACAGAAAGGTCTTCTTTCCGTTGGTTCACCCCCCAAATGGCCACTACAGCTGGCGCTGCGCCGATCCGAAGCCAGGAGCCAGGTGCCTCCTCCTGGTCTCCCATGCGGGTGCAGGGCCCAAGCACTTGGGCCATCCTCCACTGCCCTCCCGGGCCACAGCAGAGGAAGAGGAGCAAGCTAGACTAGAACCCGGCGCCCATATGGGATGCTGGCGCCGCAGGTGGAGGACTAACCAAGTGAGCCACGGCGCCGGCCCCAACGGCGTACAATTTAAACATCATCTACCCGGCATCAGCGAGGTCTCTGCGAAGCTGCCAGGAGCCCAGTTCACACCAGGGCTTCCCCACCCGGCCCCCCCCCCCGCACCCAGTGAGTGCATCTCCCAGAACACAAGGACCCTGCCACTCAGCCACCTGCCAGCCCAGCACAGGCGCCACGGCCGTCTGAGAAGCCACCGACTCATTCACCGGTCACCTGAAGGACGCAGACAGCCTCCACCGGCCAGCTCACTCCACGAATGCCCACGACAGCCGGGGCTGGCCAGGCCGAGGCCAGGAGCACACGTGGCTGTGGGCCCCACGCACTCGAGCCCTGCTGCCTCCCAGGACGTGATGAGTGGGAAGCAGGAACCCGAAGTAGGCCCAGGACACAACCCAGGCACTGCCCTGTGGGGTGCGGGGCCCTCACCACGCACCAGACGCCTGGTGGAGGGGCACTGGCAGGACACTGGCGCCCTGTGTCCCCACCAAGCCCGCCCTGCCCCCGTGGCGTGGGAGTCCAGGAAGGCAGTGTTGCTGGTCTGAGGCGGGGCACCGCCTGCAGCTGCTGGCTCTGGCTTCGGGGAGGCGTGACCTCCGAGGCCGTGTGACCGCCGGCCCTGGGGCAGGGCTTCCCAGAGCGCAACGTGGACTGCACAGGAGACACGAGACCTTTCGGCAAAGGTCGCACGAACCCAGGCCGACACTAGGGAGCCACCCAGTGGGGGCAGCCTCCGCCCTCTCCTGGCCTCGTCGCCCACGGCTCATACAGGACGCTGGACGCCGTCAGGAACACCTTGCCCCCACGGATGGATGGGAGCGCCTTCTCCCTTTCCGGAGCCCAATCCTGGATCCGGCCGCCCCTGGCCTGCCCCCCTCCCCCGACACCGGCCACCACAGCAGGAGGCCGCTCGCGTGCTCTGCAGCCCGGTTCAGCCGTGAGTAAGCCTCGCCGCGGTTAGGCCTGTGTCAGAGGAGCATCTGGTGCAACCCAGCGCGGGGTGCTCAGACCAGTCCTGGCGACCCGGCTCTGGTGTCCACTGCCGACCCCTGTGTGTCGCCTCCTCGCCGGCAAGAAGAGGCCAGGAATGCCCACCGCCAGGGGTCGCCGAGGACAAGGCCAGGGGCTGGTGGCCGCTCAAGGGACAAACGGACAGCTTGGCAGGCACCGGCTCCTGGGACAGCCAAGCAGACGAGGCGCGCGACGAGGCCGCTGATGCCACCCGCCAGCCCTGGAGCTGTCCCGGGCACATCCCGGCCCTGCTGGCACCGCCCCACCTCGTCTCCCTTTCAGCTGCAGGCACGCAGGGCCAGGCAGGGACGTGGGCAGCGGACCTGCAGCCCCGGCAGGTGCTCCTCACCTGGGCCGGCGGGGTCGGAAGTGCGTGTTTCCGCAGCCCCACTGGAGGCCGCTGCGTTCAGCCCCGTTCCGCCACTGGTGCAGGAGCGACCGGTGTGGGCCGGGCCGGGGCGTCCGGCCAGGCCTGGGCCTCGTGCCACACCCGCCCCTCCCACGCGCGGTCACAGCCTTCCTCCCCACGCAAGTGCTCCTCCCCCAGGACTGGGTGTGCGTGGGCCTGCACGGCACCGGGCCCTGGGCCACCTGCCTCGGTTGTCCTGGGCTAGACCACACACTGTGTGCATAAGCGGGGGCTGTCAGGCGACAGCGGCTGTCCTGGGAGGCAGCCGCCCGTGGCCCGCGCCGCCACAGCTATGTCCCCAGGACCTACAGCGCTGACGGTCATGGATGACATCGCCTCTTGGCACTCACCGCTGGGACAGGAGCAGGCGGCGAAGGCAGCTACCGCCTCCCTGGGGCCCCATGGCGCCTGCAGGCGCTGGGCCCTAGTGGGGGATGGGAACCGCGGCCCAGGGCCAAGGCAGGCAGAGACCTTCTCAACTCTTTATTAAGTCAGGAGGCGGGGCAGCACCGCTGGGTCCTGTGCCCCGGGGCGCAGCCTGTGCTTTGGGCTCTTTTGCCAGCAATGGAAAACCCAAGGCAAAGGCCTCAACTCAAAAGGTGCCCACAGGGCTGGAGCGGGGGTAGGGACACTGCAGGCTCACTCAGTAGCTAGTGTGCCAGGGGCCACACACGCAGCAGGTCTGGGCCCCTCCCAGGAACCCCTTCTACTGTGCTGGCTTGGGGTGAGGACCAGGCCTCGGGTGCTGGCCCAGGGGCGCCGTCTGCAGGAGCTGGGGGGCCTCGCCCAGGCCCAGCATCGGGCAGTTCAGGGGCCCCTGTGACGGAGTCGGCACGCAGGGCCAGCAGCGTCCTCGCTGGGGGCTCCCAGTCCTGAGAGCAGGTCCCACCTGAGGGCAGGCCCATGGCGGTGAGGGGTCCTCGCTGTGAGGCAGGCCCGGCTGGGCAGGGCCTCAGTGGGCCAGGTGGGCACAGGCTGGGGCGGGGGGGGGGGGGCGAAGGGGCAGGAACTCTCCCACAGGACCTTGAGGCCCTGCAGGTCTACTACCGGAGCTTCTGGTGGTCGCCGCGGGCACCTGTGTCCTGGCCCCAGCACGGCCACCGGTGCACCCAGGAGTCTCCCTGGAGGCAGCGCGCCCTCGGGCAGGCGGGCGGGCGGCACACGGTGCTCTAGAGCGGCGGCTGCTCCCAGGACGGGCAGAGCCGGTGTCGGCCCCGGCACAGGCGGCTGTGGAGGAGACAGGAGGGAGGAGTCAGCAGCCAGGCCGCCCACAGGGCTGTTCCCAGCTGCTCAGGAGGCGGCAGGCTCCGCCCCGCGCAGCCTCGGCGGCCCGGACAGTCACCCGTTCCTGCACCCCGGGCCCGGTGGGCGCTGGCTACCGGCCCATCGGTGGCCTCCAAGGGCAAGCACAGGCCGGACTGCCGACGTCAGGTAGGGAAACGCCAAGGGATTCAGACAGGAAGTGGCCTTTAACCTGAGCAGTTGGCCTAGGGGAACCGCACGTGCAGAGGCACTGAGGCGGGACCTGAGAAGTGGGCGTGCGGGACAGAAACAGGAAGGGCGAGGCCCGGCTGGTCCTGCCGTCGGACGAGGGCCATGAGGAACGGCTGTAAGGACGGTCCCACGGCTCTGGTCCAGGCGGCACTCTCAGTGCAGAGGCCTGGGAGAGAGGATGGCGGGCCTGGGAGCCGCAGCTGAGAAGCAAGGACAGGAGCCGACTCGCTGCGTGGGCACTCCTAGCGCTGGCAGCTCTGCGAGACTCCGCCCAGCCCCGAGGAGGGCTGCCTTGGCCAGAGAGAGCTCCCAGACAGTCAAGTTCAGACACAGCCAGCAGAAGGGGCCAGGTGCCCACATGCGCACCCCATGTACCCCATGTGCAGGCCACGGAGGGCCCCACGCACCCCGCCGCCCGCGGTGGAGGGGCCTCCCAGGCAGGACAGGACGTGCTGGGGGATTCCCTCACCTGGACGCCGCCCCGTGCTCGGTCAGGACCGAGGCAGCCTGGGCACGGTGGGGGAGGGCCAAGAGGAAGGCAAGGCCATCCACTGCCTGCCCTTAGCAGGGTCCCCGAGGGCCTGGCGCCACACCCAGCACCTGCTGCTGCGCGGTGCGGACAGAGGCCCAACCTCGGCGCCACCGCAGAGGGACAGCCCCAGGCCGACCAGCTGCTCCCCCCACTGCCACCACTGCCGGGCCGACTCAGAACACACACAGCAGCCGCAGGGGATCTGGCCTGGGGAGCAGGAGCCCAGGAGGCGAGGACTGAAGGCCAGGGCAGGGCCAGAGACGGCCACGCTGCCCTGTGTGACCGCGTTGTCACGCAGGCAGCCTGTGTGCGTGAGAGGGGCCGAGGACAACACGGCCCCGAGAACGCGCCTGGCGCCCGGCGCCCAGGGGCTGCCCCGCCTGCTGCCCCCGGGGAGTGAGTCCCTCCCAAGGCTCTACCTGCTTCACACCAGCAACCTCTGTCCAGGGAGTGGGGTCTGGCGGGAAGCACCGGCCCCCTCCCTCGTGAGCCCCAGCCTCCCGGAGCCGCCCGCCTGGCCTGGCAGTGCGCGCTCTGATTCCGCCTGGGGAGAAGCCCATCCCTTCTGACTGATGCCCCGTCCACTGAACCTCACTGTGCTGCTGAGCCCGTCTCCGCCTGAGCTCTGTCCGCACAGAGACCAGAGCCCCGCGAGGAGAGACCACGGGGCTCGGCTGAGTGTTCGCAGCCACTGCATCCTTGGCCCAGGCCGGCTCCCGCCGGGGCCCCGGGACCTGGGCCGGCCAGCGCCTGTCCCTGAGCACGGGAGCGTGGGGCAGGTGTGCCCAGGGCAGCGTGTCTCCCGCACAAAACCCCTCTCGCACCCACCAGTCATTCGCACTGCTGGGCCAGCTCTGGCCACTCCCAGAAGGCCCCAGGCGGGTCATGGGCAATCTCCTTCCCCATCTGCATACACGAACCTCCCGGGACCAAGGGAGGCCCACTTGCTGCAAAAGCCCTCGCTGCACCTCAGCGGCAGACAGGTAGGGACACAAGTGACACGGCTACCCCAGGCGGACAGGATGGCGGTCCCGGGCCCTCAGTCCACACAGCAGCACCACAGGGGGCTCCGGGTGTGAGCAGGGGCCCAGGCACTCGCACTCTGGCCCGGGTGTGCAGCAGGGGCCGGGCCTCACCCCAGCTTCACGAGCAGCCACGCCCACAGGGCCGGAGCCTCCAGCCCCACTGCTGGTCCCCAGCTGCCCCCACCCATCCTTCCCAGAAAGAAACCAAGCCGCGGACGCCGCAGCCTTCGCTGAGCTCTGCAGGGTCTGCCAGCCATCCCCAAGGCCGGGGCGCAGCCGGGGGCACCCACCCGGCCTCCCGCGCTCACCTGTGGGCCGTGCGCACGCCTCAGGCAGGCAGGTGCTTCCAGGTGCTGACAAAGGCCGTGGGTATGAGCGAGTAGGGCACGGTGGTGACGCAGCTCCACGTGTCCGACGTGGGGTCGTAGCAGTCCAGGGTCTTACACCGCTGCGTCCCAAAGTAGCCCCCCACCACGTACAGCTTGTTGCCCGAGGCCAGGGCGTGGCAGGACATGCGCTTGGCGGTCATGTCCCCGACACGCGTCCACTGGTTGCTCTCGCAGTCGAAGCGGTAGGCAGAGGCGGCCGTGAACTCCGTGTCACCGCCCATGATGAAGATCTGACTGCCCAGGACGGCGGCGGCCGTGTAGCGCCACGGCTGGGGGCACTCGGCCTTGATGCTCCAGCGGTTCTCCGCGGGGTCGTAGCACTGGACCTTGGACACCATGTCGCGGTAGATGCTGGTGCCCCCGAACACGAAGAGCCTGAGCCTGGCGCTCACCACGGCGGCGTTGCTGACGCCGTCCCGCAGCGGGGCCACCATCACCCACTTGTTGGCGCTGGGGTCATATCTCTCCACCTGCTTCAGGGACACGGAGGGCGAGGCAGGGAAGACCCCCGCCAGGGCCGTGTGGCCGCCCACCACGTACAGGCAGTGCTCCAGCTCGGCCGAGCCGTGGCCGAAGCGTGCGATCAGCATGGGCGCCGCCTTGGACCACTCCTCGTGCACAGTGTCGTACACCCACACGTCCTTGGAGACCCCGTTCTCGGAGCCCCGGCCCCCCGTCACGTAGACCTTGCAGCCGATGGCCGAGGCACTGAACTCCTTGCGGGGGCTGGGCAGGTTGGCCTTGGGGATGATCTCCTTGGCCTTGTGGTCCACCTGGTAGATCTTGTCGCACATGAAGGTCTGCCCGCCCAGGATGAGCAGCGTGTGGCCAGCCTTGCGTGGCCGGGCGCACGGGCTGGTGACCACGCCATCGTTCTGCAGGATCCTGGTCTTGCAGCGCAGGGCCTCGTCCACCAGGAGCCGGGTGCGCTCATCCGCCATGAGCAGGGCCTCGGCCGCCGCCGCCTCCCGCAGGCAGTCGGAGGGCAGCAGGGCCAGCCGCACGGCGTGCAGCAGCTCGGGCAGGTGCGCCCGGCGCCGCTCCAGGTCGTGCTTCACCCACTGCAGCACGGCCTCGAGCACGGCCCGCTCGTCCTGGGCCTCCAGCTCGTCGCTGGAGATGAGGCCGAGCAGCGCGTCCTTGGACAGCCCGTGGAAGTCGTCACCCCGGCACACGGTCTCGAAGTGCAGCAGGCACATGCGCCAGGAGAACTCGTGCAGCCGGCGGCACTGGTGCGCGTCGGCCAGCAGCAGCGTGCCCAGGCAGTTGGAGGGCAGCAGGTTCTTCTCCAGGAACTCGGCCGCGGCGTCGCGCACGTCGGGGAACTGCAGCATGTCGCCCGCCTCCAGCAGCGACTCGGCGTTCTCCTCGTTGATGACGATGCGCGACGAGTAGGCGAAGTCCAGCAGCAGCGCCAGCACCTCGGGGTGCAGGTTGTCCTGGAAGTCCACCGTGTCGTCCCGGCTCTCCCGCAGCCCGTGGCTGAACATGGCCTCAAAGTAGCGGCTGGAGGCGGCCAGCACGGCGCGGTGGCAGGGGAAGGCGCGGCCGCCGGCCCAGAGCGTGACGTCCGTGAGCACGCGGTGCTGGCGCAGCGTGTTGAGGTGGGCCAGCACGCAGTCGGGGTGCGAGGCCTTGTGGAAGAGCGTGATGTTCATGGAGCCTGTGCTGCCCCGCGACTTCCGGGTCTCATGGACGCTGACCGACATGGTGCCGACCTGCGGGGACGAGGCACGGTGAGCGGCCCTGGCAGCCCGGCCCCCACAGACCCGGCTGGGCGGGCGTCAGGGACCCTCCCCCACCCCAGCCTAGGGACAGCCTCAGAGGCGGAGCCAGGGCACCCCTGCAGGCCACCCAGTTCTACGGCCGGCCCCAGGAGACTGGCCTCCTGCAGCACCTGCTGTGGGAACTTGAGACTGCATCCGCGAGCAGCCCCGCCTGGGGCCCGTCCTGAGCTGGGCTCCACCTGGTACCGGCCACACGCGGCCTGCATAGCCATACTCGCAATCCTAGGCCCTGGGCCTGGACGTGTGAGGACGTGGAGAAGGCAGGCTGACCGAGACAGGCCGGTGGTGCCCCAGTGTGGCACCCTTGCTCACTGCCCCCCTCCCAGGGACTCTGCATCTGGGGCCTTGTAGGCCCCCACCCCCAGGCCCTGCCTGAACCTGGGCAACTTAAGCACCTTGCCTTGACTCCACCTGGACTGAACGTGGATGGGAGGACACTCCCATGGACAGCACGACCAAGACCCCGGCCGAGGGCTGTGGAAACGAGGCTCAGCCAAAAGGCAGCAAAGCCCACGGGCTGGCGAGAGCCCACCCCCGAGCCACCGTCCGACACCCGGCCCGCGCCCTTTCCGCACAGGCGGCCATGGCAGCGGCAAACGGGCGCCAAGGTCTTTGCGCTTCACCTCCAGGTCTGGGCCGTGGGCCGAGGCCCTGCCTCTCCCTTCTGAGGAGCCAGCAGTCAGCTGCCAGGGCACAGGCCTTGCTCTGGGCTCAGGTGGGGCAGGCACAGGGCCCTGCTGTGAGAACCCTGGGCCACGAGGCCCTTGCTGCTCCGACTCTCATCTAGACGTGGAATCCTGTCCTGCCCAGGCCTCCGTGCCCCCCGAGTGTTTCCGTCCCAGAGCCAGGCTGCCCTCACCCGGGCCCCGGAGCCTGAGCCCTGAGGGACGACGTGGGGGCTGAGTCCCAGCCCCTGCAGCAGCTCCCGGCGGCCGCCCCTCCGTACCTGGACACTCTCCTGCCTCTCCCTCCGGCCCCAGGGCCCAGGACGGTCTGAGTCTCTCCAGACCATGTAGGGGACCGGGGCAGGGCTGGGAAAGCGAGAAGCAGGAGGCCCCCCAAGCCTGGCTCCCACGTGCCCCAGGCCCCTGATGAACCAGGCTCATGCTGCCCTGAGTGCCCCACCCCTCCACAGTGGCCACAACCACCACACCTGCTCCAGGGCTGTGGACGGCAGGGGAGCCACAGGCCTGGCCAGGGCAGTGCCTGCTTTGTCCAGAGCCACACGTGTACGGCATGCTCCAAGCCTGTCCAGTGAGCTGCTCAGCTTGCCTGGCCTGGCGACCCCCAGGCAGCTGCCCCGGGCCTGGCCAGCCCTCCGGAGGGACAAAGCCTGGCAGAGCAGCCCCCCGGCCCTGAGGGGCACAGGCAAAGGGGGTCTGGCTGAGTGCACGCTGCGGAGCCGCCAGACGAGGCCAGCGCAGCACCCGCTGCCCAGCTCCCCCGCCGCCTCCTGCACGATGCTGCCCCCAAGCAGTGGGTCGGTCCCCAGCCGACTCGCGGCACCACCGACGAGGCACGGCCACCCTCACCATGCCAGTCCCTGCTCGGCTTTTTGAGTGGGCAGAGCACAGAGGCGCACGCCCATGTGGCCACAGCACCACGGTCATGGCATCTGCTGGATGGACCCATCCCTCCCCCGCCAGGGACACAGCCCGCGTCCTCACTATGCAGAACATCCAGCCTGTGCAGGGCCGGCTAGGGACAGCAGCGAGTGCTCCACCGTGGGCGGCGGTGGCCACTGGATCCAGCAGCCGCCCCTCCCGGGGCCCTGACACCCCACCCTCTCCACGCACCCAGCTGAGACGAGGAAGGGCGGGTCTATAGGAGATGTGTTCTGGAGCCAGCAGCGGCGACACAGGCTCCTCGCCCAGATGGCTGACCCAAGGCTGCCACCTGCTGCCGGGGGTGACACCTCCAGGGGACTTGCGAGCTTTCCTGGGGCTGGGCCACTGGCCACCACTCCCAAAGGAATACATGGAGGCCATAAAAGGGGCCCTCAGGCGCTGCCCTCGGGAAGCCTGAAGTGTAGCTGGGGCGTGACTCCCTCCCACCTCCTCCGCCAGCCGGGTCGAGTCTCAATGGTGGCAGCTCTGTGTGGCTCCCAGGTGCCAGCAACTGGCTCAGGGCCGCCGCCAACCCGGCCCTCGTGGCCCTGGGTATGAGCACCGGCCCCCACTCCCCAGCACCCTGGGGCTGGATTTCCGCCTGGAGGCGCCCGGACCTCCGTGTGCGAGAACTACCTGCACAGGGTTGTGCACGGCCACAGCGCCACAGCCAGCACCCCACCGCAGCAGCCGCTTTCCTGACAAGCAGCCAAGGCCCAGGGACTCCCCCAGGGCAGGCCCGACAGCGGACTTGAGCCCCTCACTCCTCTGCTACCCCAGCAGGGCAAGGAGACATCTCCCTGTCCTGGTGCCGCCCGCCCGGGAGCCCTGCCTGCTGGGTCCAGAGAGGCTGCAGGAGGCGGTGCCGGGGAGGGGCTTCCAGCAGAGCCCTCCCAGATCTCACCAGGGGCCCTGCAGGGATAGGAGTGACAGCCAGCAGGAAACCCTGGTCCCACCACAGCGGGAGCAGCCATGGCAAGCTGCCGGTCACAGCTCCCCTTCCCCAGGCACCAAGGGCAGAGGGGCTGGTTTGTAAGCCTCAGCCTTGGGCACCTGTCGGGCTCTGGTGCTAGGACTCTGCCCTCTGACCAGCTTCTACATGGCAGGCTCGGCGAGCCCCCAAGAGGACAAAGTTGTGAGGGACATGGACACAGGGAGCGATCCCACACCCCAGCTGCCAATGCGTCCGGCCAGGGCAGCCCCGCCCTTGCTGGGTGGACAGGCCATGCTGGGGCGCAGCCTCCCGCCCCCCGCCAGCGCCTCACCACCTCTTCCTCAGACGGGCCGGCCTGCAGGGTCCCCCACCATGGTGACTGACCGGCCACACCCGCAGCCCACGGCACGCGCAGGCACCCTGCCCTGCCTGGCATCCTGCCTCCCTGGGGAGGGCCACCTCCTCGAGCAAGCGAGCCGGGCAGTGGCACTTGGGCACTCTGTCCTGTTGTGGCGGTGAGCTCAGGCTACGCCCCAACACGGGCACTCCCACAGGGCGGCGAGGCTGCACTGCCCCAGGACAAGAACCCCCCTCTGTATAAGACACGGGGATGGGCACAACCCAGAGCAGGGGTCTGGAGAGGTCTGGGGTGGGCAGTGCTTCCCTCCACCTCACCCACTTCAGCGTCTCCCACAAATACACGACGCTGAGCAGCTGCCGGGAGTGGACGCGGCGGCTCGGCAGCTTTGGGATTCTTCCCGCAACATCGTTGTTCCCGCCCTGTCCCCTGGAGGAAAGTGCCTGAGATTCTGGGGCCCCCAGGTGGGCGCCTGCACAGGGGCCTTCCTGCAGCCAAGGGGGGCTGCCTGTGCCCCCCCGCCGCCCCAGCTCCTGCCCCAGGTGGGCCAACGAGGGCACCTGTGCCCCAGCGGCAGAGTGGACAGGCTCTCAGCAGGGCACGGCCAGCAGCTGAAAGGACCCCGGAGCAAGCACGACCTCCTGTGGAGGCTGCGCCCTCGCCAGCAGGACCGGCCTGGACCCGGCCCCGGGCAGCCTGCATCCTCACAGGGACCCAGGGCCGCCGGCCTGGCCTGGATGCCACTGCCCGAGGCACCAGGGCAACTTGAAAACCAACAAGCAGGACGAGGGCTCTCGAGCAGCTCACAGAAAATGTGAATTGCGCAAAAACTATGTATGAGTTTCAAAATAATTCCATGCCAGGGCTGGTGCTGTGGTGCAGCAGGTTAAACAGCCCCGGCAACGCTGGCATCTGGTGTCAGAGCACCAGTGCTATTCCTGGACACCGCGACACATCCAATCCAGCCACCTGCTAACACGCCGGGAAGGCAGCAGGAAGCGCGGTGGACCTGGGCGGAGCTCCGGCTCCCGGCTTCAGCCTGGCCCAGCCCTGGCCATTGAGGCCACTCAGGAAGCAAACCAGCAGGCAGAAGATCTCGGGCTCTCTACCTTTCACACAGACGGGTAACAAATATTTTTAAAAGTTACTTCGTGTCAACTCCATTTTCCCCACAGACTCTTGCGAGGGCCTGCGCCCAGCACAGGGGAAGCAGGCACGTGACCAGGCAGTCGCTGCAGGGGGCGTCTCCCTCGCACTGCCCCTCCCCGGGCTGCCCACGCAGGGGCCGAGCAGGACGAGAATGCTCCTGGTTCCTAAGCCGCAGCCACAGCACTGCCTCTGCACGTCAGGAGAGGAGGGCGCGGGGTGCAGCTGGCAGCACCGGCAGGTGCCCTGGGCCTCTGGTGCCTGCGCAAGGGGGGGTCCCCAAGGCAGCGCAGCTGCAGGGGCAGATAAACCGAGGCAGAGCCACGGAGCCAGGCGCCACACAGCCAGAACAGGAGCAGCCGGCTGGGCGCGTGAAAGTGCAACGGGCCACGCACAGGACAGCGGCTTTCACACGGGAACGGCGAGACCGCCTACCGACGTCGGCACCACACAGGCCACCCGCCTGCACCTTATACGCATCACACAGCACCCTGCCGTGTGCACCACCCAGGTGCCACACACAGGTACCTGCCTTGTGCACCATGACACACCATGCACACGCAACCCACTGCGTGCACCAGCCACCGTGTACGCCGTCCCTGCACCCTGCCACACTGCACACGCCTGCGGCAGGCAGGGCTGGTGACAGGCACTTGGCACTCTCGGCTCGCCCTCTGACCCCCGCTCTTGCGGCAGGTCCAGGGTCCACCTTTCGAACTCCAGCTGCCAGAGCTCCCTGGCCAGGGCTGTGAGCTGCACGACCTCACGTCGTCCCCCGCCTCTCCTGGCACAGCGGCAGACCTGCTCATGGCCTGCTCCCGAGGGCTGCCGAGAGACGGGACCAGAGCGGGGCGCGGTCTGCGGAGGACCCCTCCCCACGGCCTGCGTCCAGGGCTCCTCCTCACAGGGGTCCCCAGGGCCTTTCTCACGCGGTTTTGCCTCTTGATCTTTGCCAATTTCTTTTTAAAGATTTACTTCTTTATTTGAAAGGCAGTTACAGAGATGGATCTTCTATCCACTGGTTCACTCCCCAAATGGCTGCAACGGCCGGGGCTGGCACAGGCTGAAGCCAGGAGCGTCCCTGGTCTCCCAGGTGAGTGGCGGGGGCCACCTTCCCCTACTTTCCCAGGACTTGAACGGTGCCCACGGGGGACGCTGGTGCTGCAGGCGGCAGCCTAACCGCTGCGCCAGGGCCTGCGGTATTTACCAGAGAGGAAGCGTAACCACCACGGGTACACTCAGGAGCTGTGCAAACCAGAGCTGGTTCCACAGGCCAAGTCGCCAACCGATTTTAGTTGGGATAGTGGCTGCATTCTCACATATGGAACTTCAAAGTCTGTGAAAATGAAAAGATATTTATTTCAGAAAATTCTGAAATCCATGCACACGTAGGATCTTCAAAAAGTTTCTGAAAAATGCACATTACGAAAAACTGCACGTGGATTTCAAGTTTTTGCACAAACACACGTCTCTTTTCCTTTTTCATTTTGAAGGAAGAGGGACAAAAAAGAGCTGCCATCTGCTGCTTCGCCCCCAACGTCAGGGCTGGGCCAGGCCGCGGGCACGAACCCAGGACTCTGCGTCTCCCGTGTGGGGGCAGGGGCCCACGCACTGGAGCCTCCCGCAGCAGGGAGCTGGGCTGGAGTGGAGGAGCCAGCACTCCGACCCCCAGCTCTGGTCCGGGCGCAGTGCCGGGTGCCAAAGGCTTGCCACACCTCTGGGGGCAGCTGTGCACCTGCCTGGTCAGCAAACAGGAAGGGGTCAGGCCCTCCCAGGCCCCCTCGCCCTGTCTGAATCCATCCATCACTCGGGCAGCCACGGTTCACCGAGTCATTCACACGGGAGAGAAGCCGGAAAAGGGCAACAGCGCCTTAGTGTTACCATGGAGACAGGGCCCACCCCGCGGCGGTGCCTGGGGTGCCGGCTACGTCACGGAGGCAGCGAAGGCGGCCCCAGCACTTGAGTTCCTGCACCCGTGTGGCAAACGGGTGAAGCTCCTGGCTCCTGGCTTCAGTCTGGCCCGGCCCTGGTCATTATGGCCATTTGGGGAGTGAACCAAGGGATGGAAGACCTCTCCCTGTCTCTCTCTCTGCCTTTCAAGACAAAAAAAAAAATAAAATAAAATAAAAAAAGGCATGCGGGACGGTGGGGCTCCCTTACCCTGCACCTCACTTTTAAGACTTCTCAGGGAAGCGGCTTCTGCAGGAGCAGGGCGGCCTGCGGCTCCCAGAACCCCCTGGAGCCAGCACCCAGGCCGTGGTGGGCTGCCGCCTCCACCCTGTGCCCACAGGGCCAGCTCCCTCCCTGCGAAACCACGGAGCGCGCAGGGCCTCTGCGGCAAGGTGGCGTGGGTGCTGCGTGGATTTCTGAGGACAGAAGCGCATCTATTCATAGCAGACACGTGGGTGCCCACGGAGGCCTCGCTGGTGTGTGCCAGCGAGCTCCCACGGGGCCTGCTCTGCCATCCCCTGTGCGCAGGCCCACGGAGCGCCACCCGCTGCCCACTCCACTGCCAGATGGTCAGCTGCTGACCCGCCAGCACAGCCCCGCCTCGTCCCTCTCTCAGCTCCACTCCCATCACGGCCTCACCGAGTGGCCTGCAGATGTCGGAATCAGCAACACAAGAGGTCACTCTCGGGCACCCACAAGGGCAGGCTTGGCCCCCTGCACGTCCCCTCCGCCACCTGGGTCACCAGGACACACCAGGATCGGCCAGCAGCACTGGGGTCTCCGCACGGCCCCTGGGGGTGTGTGGCAAGCACCCCACAGTCCCACACGCAGCACAGGGCACTCGGAGTGACCAGTGCCCCCCTCAAATCCCGGCCCTGCCGGACGCCCGGCAGCGGGAGCCTCTTTTCTCACCAGCGGGATGGGGCGGCAGCTGCCGCTGCCCAGGGTCCTGTCCCGAGACCTCAGCAGAGGGCCCCGCTGAGTGCCAGGCGGGCGGCCAGCCCCACCACACTCTCCCCCTCACTGTCCAGCGGCCAAGTGCCCGGGGAGGTCACAACAGCAGCTTCAACTCCTGCGGCAGCTCTGCCCGCTCCCCCGGCCGGGAGGGAACGGCCCCTCAGCGAGAGCTCCCCCAGAAACACCTGCCTGGGAACCCCAAGAGCTGCGCCCAGGGCTCCTGCTGTCCCCCCTGCCCCCCGCCCGAGGCTGTAAGACCCCAACCAGGCCAGGCTGGTGACAGCAACAGCCTCCCTGAGGCTTGGTTCTGAGCCGTCCCCAGCATGGGCAAAGCCTGCTGCACGTCCCCAGGGAGGACCTGGCCAAGCGGCCCAGCCCAGCAGCAATGACGCCCTCCAGGCAGCCCCCACTCAGGATCTGCCCTCCCCCCGCCTCCTGCTCCAGCACCTTCTGGCGGGTGCTCTGCTTGCCGCAGACGCTGGGCAGACACCGGGAGCCTGGGGTGAGCGGAGCTCAGCTGTCTGCTGGCCGGCCGGCGTCCCCGCTGAGCCTCCTCGCGGAGAGGGCACTGCTGCCCCTACAGGTGACCTGAGGGCGTGCTCAGGTCAGGCCAGGCAGGCCCCCAGCCCCTCCCCAGGCCTGTTCACTGGAAGGTTCCAGGCCCCAGACAGGGCTTCACTAGTGACAGCCGCCCGCGCCCACAGAGCTTTCCGGAATGTTCTCCCATGCAAAGCACAGAGCGGCACGGCAGGGCAGGGATTAGCGCGGTGGGGGTGGGGGTGGGGGGACTCCCCACCGGAGCTCCTAGCATCAGAAAGAAACCACAGACACCAGGTGCACGTGAGGGCACAGGGCACCCCCACCCCTGCTCAGACACGCAGGGGAGCTCGGGCATGGCCCAAGGCCTCTCACCGGGAGGCGGGCAGTGGAGGACAGCGGTGTGGCGTGGGGTGCCCTGGGGCTCACCGTGGACCACAGGGGGTCCCTGAGTTACCCAGAACAATCACAGAACGGGGGCCGGCAGGGCCCAGAGGAGGCGGCCTCTCGCCCGCGGCCCATCCTTACACAGGCATCGCCCGGCGAGTTATTTAAAACAAACGACTCGAAGGGTCGGCTTCCACAGGAGACCAGAGAGCGCTCTCGCCGCAGCCTGCACCGCCCTGCACGCCCTGCCTCACAGGAGCTGTGCGAGACGCCCACTTCCCCGCCAGCCCCCTGCCTCCTGCGGTCTCTGGGAGTGGGGCCCTCGCCTTGGACCCCGCGTGAATCCCAGAGCTGGCAGAGAAGAGGCCAGCGGCAGCCACTTCCTCCCTTCCAACAGGGAAACCGAGGCAGCCGCATGCCGTCGTGAGCACGGGTCCTCGGGCAAGCAGGGGCCTTCCTGGAGCCCCTTCCCAGGGTCTAGCCCAGTGCCCGGCGCCCACGGGTCGAGGCACCTGCCGCCCTGGGCCTCAGGGGCCACCTGGGGCAGCAGCACCAGGAGTCTGGACGCCTCAGGCAACGGCCGTGGCTTCCTAGAAGAGCGAACGCTCCATCCGCGGCCAGACCGGCCAGCCGGCTGCTGTCCCCGCAGGCGCTCGTCCTGAGGTCGCAGCGAGAAAGCTCCTCTTGTCGTCATTAGGAAAGTAATTCCCTCAGCCCGGACCGATCTGCGGTCAGCCTCCCCGGGGGCGCGAGAGGCACAGAGGAAGCGCCACGCGGGGCACCGCCCCGGCCCAGGGGGTGAGGGCCGCCCAACTGGTCCTGCGGGTGAGGCGAGGTGCGGCGGGCACTCAGCGCCCCTCACTCTCCGCCTCCCTGTCCAGCTCTTCCAGGAGGCAGCCCCGGCTCTGCGCCCGGGCTCCCGGGGGCCAGGCCTCACCGTCTGCTCTGGGGGGCGCCCGGGCTCCCGGGGGCCAGGCCTCACCGTCTGCTCTGGGGGGCGCCCGGGCTCCCGGGGGCCAGGCCTCACCGTCTGCTCTGGGGGGCGCCCGGGCTCCCGGGGGCCAGGCCTCACCGTCTGCTCTGGGGGGCGCCCGGGCTCCCGGGGGCCAGGCCTCACCGTCTGCTCTGGGGGGCGCCCGGGCTCCCGGGGGCCAGGCCTCACCGTCTGCTCTGGGGGGCGCCCGGGCTCCCGGGGGCCAGGCCTCACCGTCTGCTCTGGGGGAGCCTCGGCGCTCCCACCGCCCCTGCCCAGGTCCCAGCACAGGAGCAGCCCTGGGCAAGTGAGTCACCCGCATGCCGCCTCCTCCACGCCCTCGCCCGCAGCCCTGGGCCCCAGCTCTGGGCAGGCACCCAGGAAGGCTGAGGGACGAGCGCCTGTCCCCCTGGAGTCACCCCCAGGAGAAAGACCCCACACCCAGGGAAGCCAGGGTATGGAAAGGGGAGGGTACGGCAGAGCTGGTGCTGCACCCAAGCCCCGCCCTCCGGGAATGCCAGCTGGGCCGGCAGGCACCGGGGCCCCACACGCTGAACATCGGGGCTTGGAAGAAGTCAACAGCAGCATACAAAGGGGCATCCACCCATTGCACAGAACAGCAAACCGAGGCCAGGGAGCCCAGGAGCCTGCAGAGACGCATGCACGAGCCTGGCCAGGGCGGCACGTTGCCTGTGTGTGCAGAAGAGACGGCGCTCGTCCCAGGGACACACAGCTGCCACCTCCACACACCGGCCAGGGCGGGACTGTGGTCACCACTGGGGACCTTGCGTCCCGGGTCTGGCTCGAGTCCCAGCTACTCCACTGCCCACGCAGCCTCCTGCTGATGAGCGACTCGGGGATGGGGGTGGTCAGCAGGTGGAGCTCTGGGACTTGGGTCCTCGCCACCCACGGAGAAGACACAAATGGGGGCTGGGCTCCTGGCTGCGGCCGGGTTCGCTCAATGTCTACTCCTGTCTCTTTCAAGTTAAATGAAAACATTAAAAATCTAACAAGAGGATGATGAGCCACAGTACCCACCCTTTACCCGGCCACCAGCACCAAGACGGGGTGGGGGGGTTGTTGACAGCAAGAAGGCCACAGGGAAGGGAGGGGCCGGCGAGGCTCCCTGTGGGGCCTGCATGCCCACAGCCCTGGATGGCCACCGGGCTCCAGAGGGTGGGGGCTGACCGGAGACACAAGGCAGCAGGCAGCCCCTTCCCCAACCCCCGGGGAGCAGAGCGCAGGCCCAGCGGCCACACCACGCTCAGCTTTGCAGGCTTCCGTCCCGCCGGGGACAGGACAGGTGCGGGCAGGTGAGCCCCCTCCCCGGCCCCCGCGCCCGTGCCAGCTGAGCAACTCCACCTGGACAGGTGCCCCTCACTGACCGCCTCATTTGCCTCTGCCAGCCCCTCCGGCGGGCCTCTGGGGTCAGGGGGTGGGCTCTCCCGGGACCCCAGGAGGAGGCTAGCCTGGAGCCCGCGCTGGGGCTGCGCTCCGCTGAGCCGAGGGTCTTCTCTTCGCCCCTGCGCCCCCGCACGGGCACGGCCGACCGGTCCCCGGCAGCACCGCCTCGGCCTCTGCAGCCAGGGCGCCCCGGCTGCACCCCACCCCGGGGGCTCCGCGCGCTGCTGGCTCGGACGCCCTGGCCGAGGGGTCCTTCCTTCCGTTCAGCTGCGGGACCCCCTGACGAGCGGCGAGCCCTCCGTCCGCGGGGCTGGGGCCGCCGGGTCCGCACACCGCCTCTGCCCCCAGCCAGGGGCCCGGTGCCGAGTCCGCGGCCGGCCCGAAGGCGACTTCCCGCCGAAACCCGGCAGGCCCGGCGTCCGGTCCCCGCTCCCGCGGCCGGGCCCGGACACAGGTCCCGACGGCAGCGGCTGGCGAGGCCCCGCCGGGGCGGGCGCGGTGCGGGGGTGCGGGCAGACCCAGGGCGCGGCGGGCGGGCCCCGACCCCGGCCCACCCGCGGAGACGCGCCCCGACCCCGGCCCGCCCGCCGCGGAGCGCCACGCTCGCCCCACAAAGAACCGCGGCGCGCGCCGCCTGGCTGACCGGTGCGGGTCCCGCGGGCCGCCGGTGGACGCCCGGCTCCTGCGCGCCGCCCGGCCCCAGGGAGGAACACGCCCCTGGGCGGCGGCCCCGGCACTCACCGAGACCCCGGCCCGCTCCGCTCCGCCGGACGAACCGCCGCGGGACCGCCGAGACGCCGCCGGCAGCTACTTTCTCCGGCCGGCCCGCCCCGCCTCCTGGCCCAAAGCGCCGCAGCCAATCAGAGGCCGCGCCTCTGTGACGGACGGGCGGCCGAGCCCGTGGCAGCCGAGGCGAGGGGCAGGGCGTGCGAGCCGCGCCGGTTCCGCGGGGGGCGGGGCGTGGAAGGACTGGGACCGGATTCTTAAAGGGCCAGGCTCCCGCGGCCCCGGTGCCGGACGCCGACCGCCTCGACATTCTAGAGACTTCGATGGACTGATGAGCTCTGCCACCGCGGCGTCGGGGCGGGATCGTCCGCAGAGTCCCGTGGGGTCACGCGCGTCTGTGACGAGGCGTTCCCACAGGGCTCAGCCCAGGGCTTCCCGGCCGGCCCGGCCTGCTGTGCGGGGTGCGAGCCCCGGTGACTATGGGGTGTGTGGGGGGGGGCGGCTTGTGTGTGAGTGTGTGTGTGTGAGGGGGTGTCGGCGTGTGTGTGTGTGAGGGTGTGTGTGGGGCTTGTATGTGTGCAACCTGTGTGATAAGTATGTGTGTGACGTGTACGTATATGTGTGTGACGAGGGTGTGGGTATATGTGTGACCTGTGTGTGACCCTGTGTGATGTGGGGTGTGTATATGTGTGATATGTGTGTGACCTGTGTTTGACCTGTACGTGTGTTTATGACCTGTGTGTGACCATATGTGTGTGACCTATGTGCGATGTGTGTGACTTTGTGTGACATGTGATGTGTGTATATGTGTGTATGTGTGACGTGGACGTGTGTTTATGACCTGTGTGTGACCGTATGTGTGTGTGACTGTGTGTGATATGTGTGTATGTGTGATGTGGACGTGTGTTTATGACCTGTGTGTGACCGTATGTGTGTGTGATGTGTGTGACGTGTGTGTATGTGTGTATGTGTGACCTGTATGTGTGTTTATGACCTGTGTGACCGTATGTGTGTGTGACTGTGTGTGATGTGTGTGTATGTGTGTATGTGTGATGTGGACGTGTGTTTATGACCTGTGTGTGACCATATGTGTGACGTGGACGTGTATGACGCGAGGGGAGGCACCGGGACCTGTGACTCCTGCAGCGCAGGGTGACCTGGGTACCGGGCAGAGTCGCCCTGCGGGCGGCGGCGTCTC